GAAATGCACGTGACATAATTTTGAAATATTAGTAATTATAATTATATTAGTTTATTATGCCTTTTTTTTTTTTTTTTTTTTTTGAAGGATGAGATTTTAAGGTTGTACCATATAAAATAATTAGGGAAGCAACCAAAATATTTAAATATCTACTATTCAACTAACCTTTAAAAAACTGCAAAATAGCCCATAAAGTATCCGACAGGTGTGCTCGAGTATCGGGCACGAAACATGTCCGAAACACGGAAACGTTATGAAGTTAAAGTTTTCGTGCTGGATAGATTGGGGCATAAAACAAAGGAAAATACATATATTTATACTTTTGAGTTTAACATGCAATCTAATTAGTTCTATCAAATACAATTATATATAAAAAAAAAGTAATAAATAAATAAATAAAAGGTGAAATGCACGTGACAAAATTTTGAAATATTAGTAATTATAATTCTATTAGTTTATTATGCCTTTTTTTTTTTTCCTCTTTTTTGAAGGATGAGATTTTAAGGTTGTACCATATAATGAAATCCACTAAAAATAAATAGTAGTGGATAGTTCACTACATACATAAAATATGTAAGATGACTCGAAGGATGATTGCTACTCTACACTTTATATGGTAACATGGTACAGTGTACCTGCAAAATATATGTGGGCTATATTTCATTTTATTACACAATTATTGACAAATACATTGTTGGTGGAGGACTTGTTTCAATTTGTACCACTCTTTTCTAAATTTTTCATATTCATGTTTGGCCAAAATTTATTTTAAATAGTTTAGAAACTTGTCTGATAAACTATTATAAGCTATTTTTTAACGGCTTATAACACCCTCTTAATTTGCATTTTTTTAAGTTTATCTATATCTTATTTTTTGAAAAATAATAACAATCCACACTATTTGGGCACGAATTTGGCTTGTATTATGGTCGACAAATGACTTTAATTAAGGTTTGTTTGCATGATAATTTTCAAGGGTAAATTACAAACACCCCCCTGAGGTATGGTCAAATTACAAAAACCCCCCTCTTGTTTGGATAATTACATCTACCCCCCTCAACTATGAATTTTTCTTACCTTTATGGTGCCAAATTCAACATAGTCATCTAGATTCCGTGAAATGTGCTCTAGTTTGTACTCTTTGTGTAAAAAATACAGTTTTCGATGCACCACAAACTGATATATACAAGCTAAAAATCACATATTATGGTCATCTTGCTTCATAATGTAGAGTTTGAATGGGATAAAACGGGTACAAAAGTGATAATAATCCATATAATCTCGAAAATTCCACTAAATTTTGATGAGTTGAGGGGGTGGTTGTAATTATCCAAACAAGAGGGGTGTTTTTGTAATTTGGTCATACCTCAGGGGGGTGTTTGTAATTTACCCTAATTTTCAAACTAAAAACGAGACATAAAATTACAAGTTTGAGCATTGAAAAATTATATGCTAAAAAGGATAGGCTATTTACAGAAAAACCAGGTCCCATATCAAATTTAGCTGTTTCCTACCAAACCACATGCCAAACAGATCACTATCATAGAAAAATTAAATTAAAAATATGTATAATAATATAATCCTTTGATTAAATTAATATAAACTTGCCACTTAAAACTCACCAGACCCACCTTTGGTCTAATGGTCTGTTTGTTGTGAGAATAATATCTTATATATTAATAATTAATAAGTACATCTATTATTTGGGTTTATTGGGGATTATTATTACATTATCATGTGTTACTGTAGTACTATTCCTTGATTTTCAGAAAATAAAAAATAATAATAATATAGGTTTAATAGAGACAAGTCTTATCGGATGGTAATCGTGTGGTCCAGATCCAGGCTTTTTTTTTCTATTAGATTGCTGAGGTGGAATTTGGGCCGCTGGATATATTTGAGATTGACAGCTGTCTAAATTCTCAGCCCAAGTAATTGTTGTTCGAGGATATTCTGTCGATTTGGGAGAATGAGGCCCATCCTCCATAAATAACTTTCTCTCATTCATCAAATAAAATATCTCATAATTAATTGTAATTTATTAATTTTTTTTTTTAAGACGAAGGAACTGCAGCCAATCATATAGGTGAACGGATAAATCTGTATTCTTGTATAATAGGTTATAAACCAGAGTAGACTAAGAGTGTGAACGAGCTCGCCTGTTTTAACGGGCTCGAGCTCGAGCTCGTCGAGTTTTTTTTTTGGCTCGAGCTCGAGCTCGAGCCCATTTTGATTTTTCCAATTATTAAAAAATATTTAGATTATAATAAAAGAAATTCAAAATAAATAAAAAATAAATTTTGAATATATATATATATATATATATATATATTATTTAATATTTATATGTTATTTTTATATTATTTTTATAATATTTTATATTATTATACGTTATTTAAGTAAAAAACAATATATATATAAAAAAAAAAAAAAAAAATTCGCGAGCCGGCTCGTGAGCTCACGAACAACTAAAAGCAACCTCAAACTTGAGCTCGAAAAACTCCAGTTCAAGTTCGAGCCTTTTCCGAGACGGCTCATCGAGCTCACGAGTGGCTCAGCTCGTTTACCACCCCTACAACAGACTAACCATGTGTGAAAATTCAATTTAGCGACCGTTGTTAAGGAAACTATTAATTAGTTTTTGGTTAGAGAGTATATAGCCCTCACAGGCCAGGCACAACGACGCAATTATCAAGAGCGCGCTCTACCACTGAGCTAATAACCCATCGTGCGAGCCTCCCACTGGAGGCCTGCTATGCCAAAAGCGAGAGAAACCACATCCCTCTCTTTCCTTTTTCCGGCCCCATGTCCGACGTGTGGCGGCATGGAGGCGAAACAAAGGGGATCCTATCGACTTGTTCCGGCCTAGGCTAATAAGTTCATGAGCTTTGGTCTTACTTCACCGTCGAAAACGAAAGATGCTTCATAATCGTACTAAAAGAAAATTGTTATATATACGTTCATTATATTAAATAAATTAATAAAGGTAAAAAATACTTTTTGCAAATGTCTACAAGCGTGCTAGGGAATTGTAACCATCTCAGAAAAGTCGGAAATCTTGCAAATCGGTCCGACAATAAAAGATTAAAAAAAGCTTATTTTAATAAGCTGTAAACATTGAGAAAGTCTTTAATTGCGTTTAGATGAAGATAGTTAGATAAAATTGTAGTATGAATTGATCTATTTTTAGTTGATTTCGACATTTCTTAGTTGATTTCAATTTTTTCTATTTCTTTTTTTTTTTAGTCGAATTGGACTTTTTTGTAGTTGTATTCTATTAAATATGTAATAATTTATCAATTTGGTTAATATTGAAAAAAACACCGAAAAAAATGAAGTTAAAATAATGAAATGGAAACAAAAAAACGAAAAAAAATGTATTGATTTTTAGAAATATTATAGTTGATACTGAGTGAAGAAAAAAAATTTTAAAAAAATATTATTTTTTTAATAAATAAAAACGAAGTAAAAAAAAACATCAAGTAATGAATGGATAGTGAATAGTGGAGAGGGATAAATTATAAATAACTAATTTGGTTGATCTACCAAATATAATAAAATGTCTACACCCATCCTCATAAAAAAAAATATATTAGAAGAAAAATATTAGAGGGGCTCTCAGTAATAGCCCCTTATTCTAATCGCGCCGTTAATTATTTAATTTAAGGATAAATAAAGAAAGAAAGTAATGGTTGGAAAAAATTGCATGTACGTCCTTGTAAAATTCCATAATTCTTAGGGTAGGGCCTACTGGATCTTAGACACATGATACAAAATTAATTCCCAACGCAATTATTCCCAAGAATATAAAACCACAATTATTCCCAAGAATAGAAACTTATGATGACGCAATGAATGAAGTCCAATTATACACATTATTGCATTCTAGCTTTTTTTTTTTTTTTTTTTTGTTTTCCAGATCTTGAAAATACGTGTTAGAAAAAGAATAAAAATTGCTAGATAACCTCAACAATTAAGCCACTTTTGAGGACTTTAATTTTTTTTGGGGTAAATTACAACCAAATCCTTAAGATTTGCTATAATAATTATAAGGTCTCTGTAATATTCGTAATTACAACCACCTCATTAAACAAACATGATATTAACGTTAAAAACCCTAACGTCAAGTGTGGTTGTCATACGAACACCACAGGGATTTCAAAGCTATTATATCATATCTCAGTGCGCAATATTTTGAATATTTCAAATAATAATTTTTTGGCCATATTTCCTTATAGTCGTTGGTGTCTTAGGGGTTAATTGTAATGAATGAACAAAAAAAATTAGTCCAATTTTTATTTATTTTTGAAAATATTAGAATCCCTAAATCTGGAAATCCAAAATCAGTAAAAAACGGGAAGCTTGAAATTTGAAAATAAAAAACCCTAAATTAGGTATGCTATAATAAATTTAAGTAAAAATTGAACCAAGATTTTTTTTCATTACAATCACCCCTAGGGCACCAACGACTAATGAAATAGGGTAAAAAGTTAGGAATTTTAATTATTTAAATAGATCAAAAACTGTTACATTTACCCCATGAGGTATGATACAATAATTTTAAAGTCCCTGTTGCATTTATAATTACGACCACCCCACTGATGCTAATGTTTATAACGTTCCGTTAACTTCCGGATTCGTAATTAGCAATGACAGAGGATTTGTTCAACCCTACACCCGGTGATAAACACCGGGTGGGTCTTCTGCTGCCACGTGTAACTTTTTTGTATTTTATATTATATTCCCCGCTAGGGTTTACCTTTAGGAATTTTAGAAAAAAAAAAAAAGGGACACGTGGCAGCAGAAAATCCACCCAGTGTTTATCACCGGGTGTAGGGTCGAAGGAACCATGACAGAGTGATCTTAAAGTTATTATGACATACCTTATTCTGGAACGGATATTTTCTCTAAACATTTATTTTATTTAACGATTATTTAATTATTTACTTCAATTTTTTTTTTAATTTTTGTTTAAATAATGGAACTCATAAAACCAAAAATTGAGGCAAATTAAATTAGAACATTAAAAACCATAAAAGGTAACAACATAAAAACCTAAACCCCCCTTAAATCTCTCCCACAGAAAATTAGAACCAGATGAAAGTAAGTCTACATCAACTGTTCATTAATTAAAAATAATAATAATAAACTACGATGCATCAGCCCATGCATAGAAAAGTGGCACTTGTGGCCTCATCTGAGCCGTTGATTGGATCCAAGAAAACTCAGATCCAAATTGCATCGAACGGCTGTTATTAATATTCCCATCCGGGCTTCCTTCTCTAGAGCTGCTCAAGCTCGTCACCAGCGAAGACCCACCCGACAAACGACCCGCGGTACTCCGACCCGACCCGTCCCAAACCTGCGGGTCAATTACAACCGACCCGCTTACCGATGAACTGGAGCCGTTGAAATATTCCAACGCTGGTTTCTGATGATGGGACGGCTCGTAGAGGGCCACGTCATCGGTGGGATGACTAACGGTCAAAGTTGTAACGTCTGTGTTCCGCCTGGCCATTTCGCCCGAGAGAAGCGTGTTGCTTTCCATGATTCTTTCCACGTCGTACTTTGATGTAACGAAGTTAGTAACGGCGTTTAGTCCTCTGAATTTTATTGCAGCTACATCGTATGCCTCTGCAGCTTCTTCTTGTGTGCCTGGATTTATTATATATGTCAAATTAAAATATCACTCCTTATTCTGATTATAATATTTTCGGGATTATTTGAAAATTAAACCCCCAAATCCAATTTCGAAATCAGAAAATGAAAATATTTTATTCCAAAATTAGAAATAATTGTTTAATTATTTTCTAAAATTAAAATCCAATCATAAATCAGATACATAATATTCGGGAAAGTCGAAATATAGTAAAAAAAAAAAAAAAAACATGATTCCGAAGTTGATAAACTATTCGAGTTCTAAAAAGACAGCTCGAAAATTCCGTTTCAATTTTTTTTCCTAATATAAAATCCATTATTTAGGAATTAACTAAAAATTAGTAAAGAAAAAAAATTAAACATTTTGAGAGAGGTAATTATTAATTAACTTACTGAATGTGCCTAGATAAAGATCCTTGTTCCCTGCAACTCGGCCAATCCGAGCTTGCCACCTGCCATGCTGATGATGCCTGCTAAACAACAATGTAAAATATAATTAGATTTCACAGTATAAAAAGGTTCATTTTCTTGAAAAAAAAAATTAAAGACCTTATTAATTAATTAGCATATACTAAAATCCATTAATTCATCATTAATTAAGACCTTGTCACTCCTCTGTAAATAGAAGCTCCCCTAGAGAAACCACTACTTCTCCTGCAAATTAAATCATTTGTGGGACCAACAAAAAACTATGTAAGAAAAAATAAATTGAAATTTAGAATATTCTTAATTAATTACATATATACAGAATTAATGAAGAATTAATTAATTACCTTCTTAAGTGAGCAACATATTCTTGTCTGTTCATGCTGTTCATTTCTTCAAGCTCTTGCCGATAATTTTCCACCTATACGTTATTAACTCGAAAAATTCATTAATAATTATCTCAATGTTTCGCTTTAAAATAAACGAAAAAATCGAAAAATCGACGTACAGCGAAATTGATATGGGTTGAAGGCCCCCAGTACTTAAGTGCTGCTAAATCATAAGCCCTTGCTGCTTTTTCTTCCATATCATATCCCCCTAAATTAAAATAAATAAATAAAAAATCATTGTTTAGTTTGATATACAGATCATTAATTAATATATTAAATCCCGAAAAAAATAATAATAAATAAATAGTTACCTAAGTAAACTGGCAAGAAGTTCATGTGTCATCCATCATCACCAAGGAACCAAAGATTTCAGGGAAGAGAAAAAAACAATAAATAAAAAAATTAGTATTTAAAAATGAGTTAATTTAATTAACGAAATCTAATAAAAAAAATAAAGAAAAAATACCTTGTCTTCCCTTTCTGCTTTGGCCTTCCTTCTTACAACTGTTGTCCCATAGATGAGCTTCGTATCTGCCTGTCCACCTATGCCTGATGCATTATCAACAAGAAGATGAGAGAGAGAGTCTAGAGAGAGAGAGAGAAAGTCTAGAGAGAGAGAGACCTTGTGACACCTCTGTACTGCGAGGTTCTTTGTCCGAAAGTATCAATAGATTTCCGGTGAACAATCTGCTTCTGATTTTCAGGCAGCCCTCTTTTCTTCTTCTCCAACGCCATCATCGTACTATCCTGCGAGCTCATAGTCAAGCTCAGAGACTGTAAATCACCATTACCACCCGCACTACCAGATTCCACCCCATTTTCCGCCATTAACGCAGCATGCACATTTCCCGGGCTGCAGTTTCTCGAAACCCAGTTCTTCGCGCCGCCGCCGCCGCCTATTTCGTCGTCCGCCGCCATTGATGGATGCTGATCGGCTTCTTTGCTCCGATGATGATCGTCACCACCACCTTGTAATAACAAAGCCTGGTAGTTATAATGCGGGTACTGATCTTGATGAAGTTGGATAATTTGTTGCGAGTTTTCTTGGCTATGGCCGCCGACAAAATCCTGACCGTTGATTATGGTTTTGTTGTTTTCGTTTTCATGGGTTTGATTATAGTACGTGCTGTCTAGGCTTAGAGCCATTCCACCTCTTTCGTAGTGATGGGGATGGGCCCCCATTGTTGCTCCAGTACTAAAGAAATCCTCCAGTTTAGCTGTGTACAGTACAGTTCAATTATCACAGTTAAAAAAAAAAAGATTTATATTATTATTTAAATGCAGTAAAAAATAAATAAATATGTAGTGCCTGGTGGTTGTGAGGTGTGGAAAGCTTCCATCAAGCAGAGTGAGCCGTCAGACTTGATCGGCATCATGGTTAAAGAAGAAGAAGAGTTTTCACCGTAGTAATTAATTCCTGGGTAGTTGTAACTTGAAGGAACTGTACCGGAAACAACTGTAGAGGATGGCTGATGATCATCACCTTCTTGATGATGATGATGATGAGATGATGATGATGTGTCGTCCATGGTGGGAGCAGAAAGAGAGAAACCCAATAACCAGTTAATATTGTTCATTTTGTTTTTGTATATATATATATATATGGAAGAAAGCAAATTCAAATGATTGGGAAACAAATAAACTAATGATGATGCATATCTAAAACTCTATTTCTCTTCTTTTGATTTGCTTCCCTCCATTTTTGTAATAAGAGAGAGAGAGAGAGAGAGAGAGAGAGAAGTTGGTTTGTTTTGTTTTGTAGCTACACGCTACACACACTTAAGTAGGAAACTGAATCTAACCCTAAATCTTTGCTCTCTGTTTCTCTCTCTTAGTTTAGTTTCTCTCTCTAGAATTGAAAATAAAGAAGGGGGGGCCCATAAAAGAAAACAAAAAGAATGAGTTTTACAGCAAACAATGCTGGGAATCCTTACTGCATATTATTTTTTTCTTGCATGGGGATCTGTGCATAAGAAAAATAATACCATACATCGTTCTTTATTTTGCTTTCTTTTTTTTCCTCAGCTCCCCACTCCTGCCTCCCTCTCTTTTTCAATTTATTTAATTATTTTTTTTTTAATTTAATAAATATTATTTGAATATGCATGCATTCATCTATATCTCTGCAGCAAAGGCAACTTTATTTTTTATTTATTTTTAAATCAACATTCTATTATATATGCGACAATAATTAAAAAATACAATTGTTTTTAACAACTTTATAGTAGGGGTGTTCATACCATAAAACCCGTACCGGTACTTTAAAATTTTGTAATGTTTACCAAATCGAAGTATTCGGTTCGGTATGGTTTTTTATCGAATTCTTGGATTCGGTGCGGTTCGGTACCAGTAAAACCGAAATATATTTTTGTATAGTACCGGTAAAACCGAAATATAATTTCGTATTTTAGAAAAGATAAAAATAAAAATATTAAATATTTTAGTATTCGTTACGTAATGCGGTATGGCGGGCATCAATATCGTATACTATACGGAATACCGAAATTCAAACAAAAAATTACCGAATGCCGAATCAAATTTTCAGTTTGGTACTGAATTTTGGGTTCGGTGGGATTACCGACCGAGTGAACTCGTCTAGTTCAGAGAACCAAATCGGAAGATGACTACTTATTCCTTAACTTTATATACTTATTTGTAATTTGTATTTGATTTGTATTAATTGTTATTATTTTTAGGTCCAAAGCCTGCAATAATATTACCAACTAAAGAACATCAGTTTCTGCAGAAAGACAGCTCCTTTTTTTCCTTCTCCACTGCAGGAAACAATAACTCCTGTATATATATACATATAAATAATTAATTAATTAATAAATAATAAATGATGTAAATTGATTTTGCATGTCACACTCTTTTACTCTCCGTGATTCTTGAATTTTAATTAATATAAGATTACGACCAAAATATTAATACGATTTTGACATAACATTAATTAAATGAGCTCTCTGCTGTACATTATATTGTCTCATTAAAACTGTACGTATATCTTATGTTCTCAATATTTAGGGTTTCTTTTTTTTTTTTTTTTTTAAATTTTATTTATTACAACTTATGACATTACAAAATCTTTACATAGATTTCTCCGGGGCAGAAGACAAAAACTGTCTCAGATCTCTCTGCTCACTCAACCAGTACACAGACACATACACACATATACACACACACACATATATAAATATAAATATATATATATATATATATATATATATATATATATATATATATATATATATATATATATATATATATATATATATAAATATATATATATATAAAAGGTAAATTACGAAAACCCCCTTAACTTAGGCTACATAACGAAAAACGCCCCCACATATTCGTAATTACCAAAAACCCCTTGAGGTTTGTTTCCGTATTACACCAATCCTCCTACTATGACTTTTCACGATTTTTTTTTCCAGGGAATAGACTTTACACAATTTCAGATATTTTTTTTTTTTAATTTCTCACCTAGTTGACATAAGGTATAATAGACTAGACATATTTTATATTAAAAAATTCAATCAACAGTTAATCGGAGGGAGAATTTTGGTTATTACGGTTAGGTGGGATGTTTTTCGTTATTTAACCTAAGTTTAGGGGTTTTTTCGTAATTTGCCCTATATATATGGATGTATATACAGCTATGTGGGTAGTACTATGGGCTACATATATATATAGGTATCTGGCTAGTAGTTCTGTATGCATAGTTATTGTATGTTGGTTAGCTGAGGCATGTGTGGACAGGGCTAAACGATGCCGTATGGAGGTGTCTTGACAAAAGTCTTTTTTTTTTCTTTTTTTTTTTTCTTACAAAATTGAGAAAGTGTATATAGTGTGTGAAGAATTGACACAGAAATTCAGCAAATGGGTTGTCAGTAAAGAGAGATAAAGTAGTTTGACTGGTGCATGCTTTTGTAATTTTTTGTACCTTTGTTTGGTTAGGGTCCCACACTTTGAATGCCATTATTTATAAATTAATCTTATATAATAATAAACTCTTATATTGAAGAAAGAAAAAAAATTGAATCCATGCAATATTTTGGTTTTTCCTTAATTAAAATTTAGGGCAAATTACGGGGCTACCCTTAAGATATGGCGAAATTACGAAAAAAATCATCGCGTTTGGGTAATTATAGTAATCCCCTCATTTTAAATATTTTTACATAAATCGTATATTTAGTTCGGTAAATCGTATATTTAGTTCGGTAAGCGGTATGAAATGTTGGCGTACCGATATTTCGGTTCGGTTTTACCGACTTAACATCTCTAAATTTACATCTGGAGGGGTTTTCTCGTAAGATAATATATAATTGAGGGGGTGACTGTAATTATCCAAATATGAGGGGGTTTTCGTAATTTAACGATAACTCAGGGGTGGCTGTAATTTGCCCTAAAATTTAAAACGCTTCATCTAATATTTTGGTTTTCTTTTGGGGGGTTATAAAAAAAATAACTAATTTAAACTTGACTCGGTAGAAAAAAATAAACCTATTTTTTCTCGGAATCAACATTATTATATAGGGTAAACTACAACCGCTTCGAAGTAAGGTTTATTTTTTAACACCCCCCTCATTTTTCTATACTCACATTCACTCCCTCGCAATTTGTGGATTTTTTACATTAACACCCTTTTGTAGGGATAGTAGATATAAGAAATTCACAAACTACAGGGAGCAAAATGTAAATTTTCAAACATGAGGATTTTTTTATAAATATAGGAGGTGGTTTTAATTTATCCTATTATATATATACTATATACTTATATATATATATATATATATATATATATATATATATATATATATATATATATATATATATAATTTATTAGGTTTACAAAAACATCAAAAGACCTTGAACGAAAATGGTAAGTAAGCTGCTTTGTCTATTCCCAACATAATCTTGGGGAATATTATAGGGTATGAGCATGTATATTGAGCACACAATAGACGTGACAATGTAAACTATAGGATAAATTACAATCACCTCCCTGAAGTGAAGTGTAATTGCAAAAAAACCCGTCTTACATCTATTATTGTAAGAAATCTACAAAGTGTGTGGGTGAATGTTATTAATTAAAAGTGAGTGTTCGTTTGTAATTTACATGTAGATAACACTACATTAGTTAAAAGATGAGGGGTCTTTTTGTAATTGGACTAGAGGTTGAAGAAGGTGATGTCAATCTACCCAAAAGTTTATTTTCACTAGCTACTTCATTATTGGTCCCGATTTTATAAATTCATTTCAATTAAACTATGATTCAACTATTTAACTTCGACTGTGGTTAGATTAAATGATTGTATGATAATACTCTAATATTATTTAAATTAGTACAAAATAAAAACTTAATTATTTATGAATAAAACCCTTGTTGGTTACCATTTGGCGAGTTATTAACCATATACAAAATTAATAATTACTGGTTAAGCACATACAGATGAGTGTGTGTTATTATATGTAGATCTACGATTAACAAACATCCTAATATAAATAATTAGACGTAACTAGGGGCGAGTCCAGCCCATGGCTAGGGTGGACTCAAGCCCCTCCTCGACTATTTAGCTTCCATAATAGTATAGCTATATTATTATTTAGTCCACCCAATTATTACTATTTAGTCCAGCCAAAATTCAAAATATGCAAAAGAAATCCTAAATTTTTTCTCCCCCTAATATATCTAACAAATAAAGGGCCAATTCTTGTTTCACGGCCGCTGCCTTGAACCCCCGAAAATTTAACATCTAATTACCCTTCGCATTTCAGAACTCTAGTGCAAGACAATATATATCCGAAATACCAAATTAGGATAATTAGCTAAACAAAAATAAAAATGAATAAAATACCAAATTAAGGTGTAATTAATCTATCAACTATTAATGTAGTTGTGATTAAGGCGTGACATAAAGGAATGCAGAATATATAACTTGAAAGTGACTAAACACAAAATCTTGTATTCATTACAAGGCATAGGCTACATTTCACCCAATCTAGTCTTAACACATCTTTCTCTATTTGGAATGCCAGCTTTCCGAATTTATTATCCAAACAAATTTTAATTTTTTTGTTATCATTTTATATTTTTATTTTTAATTTCGTCATATATAATTATTTGTACATATATAAATATATATATTTAATTTCTTGTCAGAGTGTCGTCGTTTCACGACTTCCCCAACTACTTTTTTCCTTCCAACTGTACCCCATAAAAATTGAGACTTTGAAGAACAAATACATATAAAACAATAAAATGAACATTAAAAAAAAAAAGCAAATTAAACATGTTTATTCATTACAAAACAATCTTGTTCAACTTAAATCGTTTGACAAAGAACAAATCCCTAACCCAGAGTGGGGACCACGAAAGAAAGTCAAACAACCCCGTCATGTGACCGTACGCGATCGTCTTAGGAGGTCTCGAGCTCATAACCCTACTCGCAACGTGCCTAGCGAACACGTCAGCTTCTGTCGACCGACCGCTTTGAGACGCCCTAGCTCTCTCGGCTATACTCTCCTTAAAATCCCTATACATTCTCCAATCGCGATTGCTGGTATAATTTTGCCCGAAATTTGACCTAATTGCCCCTGGATAGACCAAAATAACCTTGATATTAAACGGCGTCAGCTCGACTCGAAGTGCGTGCGAAACGGCGTGCACGTAGGCCTTGCTAGCACAATAGGAACCCGCCCATGGGGTAGGCACTTTCCCAACAACACTACCTACATTCACTATGATTCCACCACCACTCCTCACCATGTGAGGCACCACTTTTTGAACCATCCTCAATTGACCTAACGCGTTTATTTCGAACGCTCTTCTAATTTCGTCTAGTGAAAGTTCGGCGAGTGGGCCCGTGCTTCCGATTCCCGCGTTGTTGACTAAAATATCAATTCTGCCACAACGCGATATCACGAAATTTACCGCCTCTGCGACACTCTCATCTGACGAGACATCGATTTCTAGGGTTTCGATTTGTTCGGATTTTAGTGATGCGAGATGGGGCATCCTTTGTGGGAGGTCGGATGCGAAGACGATGCATTTGTGCTCGGCGAAAGCCTTGCAGTATTCGTAGCCGATCCCGCCTTTCGAGCAACCGGTGATTAGGACAACCTTAGAATTATGATCATTCATTTTTCCTTGCCTTTTTTATTTTGTTGTTCCACTTGTGTTGGTCATTGGAAGATATATATTAGTTCAAGATTCCACTATGTTTGATCTTAATTGTTGTAATCTTCCTTGTGTTTGTAGTTTTGTAACTCTAACTTAAGAATATTCTTCGTTTATTCTTTGATTGGCCGGCTAGGGTAATTAATTATAAGAAATTAACATTAATTAAAATTAATTTGGTTTAATTAGTACATATATAGTAATAGTACCGACAAACAAAAGTGTTGATATTATCAAGAATTTCACCAATATTCCAATTGTGGGGCTAATGTTCGAACATGCTAAACATAGCATGTGTAGGATTTCTCTTCTTGTAAAGTAATTTCTTTAGTGTTGCTCTTTCCCTAAATTCATAGAGCGTCATGTATTTTTTGGGGTTCCGAAAAATCGAGTTTCGACTTGATTTTAATTAAATTTTTAAGTAAAATCATATTCATTTTATATATAAACAATGTATATGCATTATCAATTTACGATACGTGACAAATGCAAGTTCATTTTTTGTTTAAATTACATTCACCTCTTAAGGTAAGGTTAAATTACGAAAAAAAAATCTTATTGTTTTGGTAATTACAATCAACCCTTCAACTATGAATTTTCTTACACGTCCGTCATTGTTGTGCTAAATTTATTGAAATCTTCTAGATTATGTGGAATATTATCAAGTTTGTACCCGTTTTTACCTCATTCGAGCTCTATGCACTAGTAGAAAATTTGCTTATTACTACAATTTTTTTTTGCTACGGTTAAAAATCGTAATAAAATGTATTTTTTACTACGGAACAATTTTGAAGTCGTAGTAAATACTAAGATTTGCCGTAGCAAAAAAAGTACTTGGTACGGCCATTTACCGTAGCAAAGCTTTTGTCACGCCCGTATATGCTACGGGGCAAGTTCGTAGCAAATGTGTAGCAAAAGCGTTTTCAGTACGAATTTGATACCTTTTGCTACGTACGGCTAATGATCGTAGTAAATAGCCATTTTTCTACTAGTGATCGATGTTTTGAAATAAGATGATCATATAATGTGTCTCTTGACCACTGAATATCATATTATCGTGCATCAGAAACTGCATTTTTGCATAAAACGAGTACAAACTAAAGAACATTCTACGGAATCTAGAAGATTATGTAGAAATTGACACTATAAGGATGGACGCGCATGTAAGAAAATTTATAATTGAGGGGATAATTGTAATTATACAAACAAAAATGATTTCTTTAGTAATTTAACCTTAGTTGAGGGATGATGACACTAATTTACCCTTTTCTTTTTTTTGGGACAAATTGGTATTCAAGATTTGACTAAAAGGGAATCCAATCAGAATCTAGGCAAAGCACAAAATCTGATGCTTTTTTTTTTTTTTTTTTTTAACCTCTCTGAAAAGATATTAAAACAAAGAGAAGCAATATAATTCTGAACAATATTCCTGGAGTTCATATAGGGATCTGTACCCGACGGAGAAATACATCTTCTTTTGCTTTTCAGTACTGTTTCCCCTTTGTCTGAACCCCCACAATTTAAAATTAATTAATTCTTTTTCTTTAATGAGAATATTCCCATGTAATTAAAATAATTATTTTGGCTTAATTAATTTCTCCAAATAAATTTAATTAATCAAGTCTTTGATGAGTTGAAATTAAGCATGCATGCAATTATAAGATCACTAAACACAAGTCAACTGTGACTAAAGTAGAATACAGATAGCAACCTAACTGTTTGTTTAAAGATTAAAGAGCAAAAGCTCCATCTTTTCAGTTTTTTTCTCTTTCCCTCCCCATTAAAAAAAATTAAATTTAAAAATTCTCTTACCAATTTTTATTGGCAAACCCATAATTCTTCACTGTCTGAAATGTCGTATTCCTAGGCATGCCTATCATATGTCATATTCATTCATCTAGAGAAATAACATTTGTAATTATCTAAGTTCACATATTAATTTTTTTTTTTTTTTGAGTAAAATATTAATTACTATACGTTCATTAATATGTGTTGGCGCCAGATTTCTCAGACTTGAACAAATTTGTTGCTTTGTTAATCAAGATTGGTAATGATGTAGAATTTTTTATTTATTTCCTTGTAATTGTTTTAGATTAGGGAAGAAGATTTATCTATATTTAATTTAAGTAGTAGAAATCATGAAGGATTCTATTTCTTTAGCATTAATCTTTTTTAGGTTCAAGTTAGGTTTAGAGTGTATAATCTTTTAATTTTAGGTTCAAGTTAAGGCTTCAAGAGAGCAGTCTGTGAATCGATGTGTGTCATCCGTGGAGTTGTTACCACAAATTCATATTTCTTCCATCTGACCTTATAAAAGATTGGCGTTTTAGGAAAAATGCATAAAAGATCTCTGGAGAGATCGTCCGTCATTTGAAGGGAGTTTAGTCTATAGGGAGTCCACGAAGTGCAGATTGAGGGAGTTGCGGTGGAGAAGACAAGAAGTTCGAATAGCGGACAAGAACAAAGTATTAAATGAAGAGGGAATCATTATTGTTTTTAATAAGTACATATATATTGTACACATAAAACTGACTTAGCGAAAATCTTGTTTGCAGGACTTAGATGTAGGTCACGTTTACGTTCGAATCACATTAAATGTTGTGTGTCTTTTATTCTGCTTTGTAGTTATAATTAATAATTATACGCAATTAATAGTTGTAACATAGTAATTGTGGTAACAAAATTAATCCAATTCAATAAAATAAGTAGATTTCCATAGAGATATATAAATCAACAATATGAATACGATTTTCCATTTAATCAATGTTACCCTCCAAATTAATTATTATTTTTAATTAAATGTTTGGTCTATAAAATATGAAGTATTAGTGTATTACATTAGGGTGTATATATTTGACCATACATATAATTACATGCATTAACACATATATTACATCCCTTTGTGTATTTTTCGGCCTTTAAGATAAATTCCTTTGTTGGGCTTCAAATTTTATGTCTAACCTTAATTATTGGGCTTCTGGGAAGAATTGGGTTCACACACACACACACACAAAAAAAAAAAGAAAATTAAAATGGGTTCTATTTATTTTCTGTATTGATTTTTGGGAAAATTGCAATTTTGGTCCTATATGTTGGTCTCTTTATAGATTTAGTCCTATAAGTTGTTCTATTTCAATTTTACATGCAATAACTATGCAAAATTAGCATATTTAATGATGTACATAACAAACTCTTATAAAGTTATTCATTTGGACACTTCAAAATTATAAATGCTCCTCTAATTTGGTATATAAATGTGTAATCTCACGTAATTAAAGTTCTACTAATAGTAAATTATATGTCGAATTTATAAATTTCCAACCGTCCATATAAGTAAAATGCGTCAAGTTTATTTGTCTCGTCATAAAATTATAAATCGGGTAAAAATTAAAATAGGACCAAAAATACTATATTTGAAAAATTATTATGCATAAAACTGAAATATGACAAGTTAGTGGATTAAATTCCTAAATAGGACAACATAGAGGACGAAAACTACAATTTCCCTTCATTTCTCGTCCCCAAAACCCCCCAATTAAAACCCTCTTCATTTTATCCTCCGGCGAAAACGAAACACAGTTTTTTTTTCTTCTTTCCCCCAATTAAATCTACTAATGATTGCTTCCGCCGTAGCTCCGCCGGCGGCAGCTTTTAGTTCCGGCAATTGGTACCGTGGGGACAGAGTTTCATTTCTCAATCGGTTTTCTTCCGGTTTACCTTCAGCTTCCAGAAAGTTCTTCCCTACGACGGCCATCTTTCATCCGATCGAAAAGGTGAATCTTTTCTTCTTTGTTTCTTTTCTATTGCTAATTTGAAATAAACTACTTTGATTTTGTGTGAATTAATTTTTTTTTTATATTTATTTTCATTTAGAAAAAAAACATTTGGCCTTCGAATACTGAGAAACCTTAGTTGGTGTGTGTGAAGTTGGTACTTTTGCAGCTAATGAATTAAAATCATATTAAGTAAAATAATTAAAAAAAATATTAATTCAGCCTCTGCTAAGTTAATTGATTTCTGGTTATGTGCTTGTAAATAATTATCAGCTCATCAGCAATATGATTTAGGTGGTGTTTGCAAATGCTTTTAAAAATAGATTATGAGCTTTTTTCTGTACATAATTAGTTTGCAAAACAAGCTTTTGTTTTTGCTTCACTTAAAATAAGCAGCTTTAAGCTATAATTTCAAAAACACCATCGTACCTGCTTTTTCGAATGTAGTTTATTTTCCAGCTAATTTGCAAATACCCCCAACTTTTAGAAATAAACACTTAATTCCAACTTAACTCACAATCACTAACTTCTGCTTTTAATTGTATGTACACAACGCTACAAAATTATTTCGGTTATTCAAATGCTTACATGTGTATCTCACTCCGAGCAATCGATCGATTTTACTAGGTAGTCCATTATTTCTCGAAAATTTCAACTTTCGATTTCGTATTTCTATACACGGACGACAAAATATTGGCATGATAGTGGGTGAAGATTCTCATCGGTATTTGATTAGTCGAGATTTTTCCTCGATTTTTTTTATTTTATATAAGAATGAAGTTAAGTTAGTTTTATTTCCTGTTTTCTTTTCTCAATCAGAAAGTCGTATCATTACCTGATTTCGCGGAAATTGAAAAAATCGATACTCTGCCATCAACTTTCGAAGATATATTCATCCCAAAACCGAAGGCATCATCGTTCCGGAATGCACCAAAAAAGGAAAAGAATCCGAAACGGCTTAGCAGTAGTGCGGCCCAGAGGAATTTACTTCTCCCGGTTCTTCGATACCCGCTCACCACCGAGTCTGCTATGAAGGCAATTTTGGAACACAACACGTTGGTTTTTGTTGTGGACGAGCGTGCGGACAAAAACAGCATCAAAGACACCGTTCAGAATGTCTTTAACGTGAGGGCTAAAAAGGTAAATACCGCAATTACCCCTGACGGTACGAAGAAGGCTTTTATTATGCTGGCATCCGGTTTTAGTGCCTTGGATGTGGCGAAGAAGATCAAAATCTTGTGATTTTTTTTTTTTTAATTTGTGCGCGTGTTTGTATGAGTATGTTCGAAATTCGGATAAATTTTATTCGTGATTTTAAGGTTGTATCATTATTGTTGTGAATCGTAATTGTCTCCTCTCAGGGTGTTTTTCGTTTGAAATATAAGCTCTAATTACAAAAAAAAACCCTTATGTTTGGTAGTTACAACCATTATGAATCTTCTTACACGTCTACTCTTGTGGTATTAAATTTACTGGAATCTTCTATATTATGTGGAATATTCTCCAATTTGTACCCGTCTTACTCCATTCCAGCTTCACATTATGAAACAAGATCATACAATATGTTTCTTGACTTGTAAATATCAGATTGTGGTGCATTAGAAACAGTATTTTTGCACAAAACGAGTACAAATTAGAGAACGTTCTATTGAATCTAGAAGATTTCGTTGAATTCGACACCATAAGAGTGGATGTGTAAGAAGATTCATAATTGAGGGGATGATTGTAATTACCCAAACATGAGGAGTTTTTCCATAATTTGACCTCAGTAATTTACCCTATTTTATATTAACAACAAACAAGGCCTAACATTGTAGAATAATCTCAGAAGGGCCAATCAAAAGCTAATTAATAAGAACAAATTTCCATTCAAAGTATACACAACCAAGGTTCCAATTTAAGGAACACCATATGTTAATTCAACATAGTCACTATTTAATTTACAAAGGCTTCAAAAACCCGTGTAAATACCGAAACAATTACCGCTACAAAAAAAATAAAAAAAATCCCAGGTCGTCGTACACAGTACCTTCTTCGTGAAAACTCGGAGATTTTGTGGGGCCCACAAACATTCGTATTCACTCATTGTCCCAGTAGTTTCTAAGCTGCGACATGTGTAAGAGAAGCTCGTCTCTGCCCAAACCAGTGACACTGCTTGTCATAATCCAAGGAGGGTGTTTTTGTCTATAATTGTCTTTTATCAGTTCTTGAAACTCTCTAATATTCTCGTCGGGCCTTCTCCCTTTGGCTGCTTTCGTTTTATCGCACTTTGTAAAAACAAATGTCAACGGTATCTACAATTTTGTAAAAGAAATTGTAAGATAAAAACAGTAATCGGGTGTTAATAAACTATTAAATTTAAGAATATACGATGATTGTGAATTTAAAAACAAGCATACATTGTTCCGTCCAAGCCAATTAGCACAATCGAGGTCGATTTTCTTAGGTGGGACACTTGCATCGATTAATAGAAGAACAGAGACGAGAGATTCTCGGTTCAAAAAGTAGCCTTTAGTGAATGATGACCAATCCATTATTGCGGAATCCGGGGCGTTAGCAAAACTGCAGACGAAAGTATGGTACACAAGATTTAAAAAAAAAAAACTACAAATAATTATAATAATAATACTTTATTGTAAAAATTAATAATATTCGAGAAAAAATGGATATAGTGTGCGTAAATATGAACATTTAATTGCCTTAAATTTAGAGATTAGGCAAATTATATAGGTGGACTACGTGAGATAAACTAGGCAATTCGAGCTATTGCGACACAAATAATTCGCAGAATTGCAAGAAAAAAATTAGAAAACTCGGAATAAACAGAGATTTGAAAAATTAAGAACCCAAACAATGGGATAATGTAATTCAACAACAAACAAAGAAACTAAACTAAGAAGCAAACGAATATTTTATCGTTCCGAGCAAGGGGGCCAAATACACTAGATCATAAAATTAATACTCCAGTCCTCCCGATTATCCGCTTATTTATTTATTTATTTATTTATTTTCCCGAAATTAATTCATTTTGCAATATCCTTCTCTACTCAACTAGTGATGGTGAAACTCATGGATCGAGGATTTTGCTATTCCCTAATTTTCCATAGTAAAATCGAGAATGTTCTAGGTTATACGCATATTCTAGAATGTTACCGATAATTAAAATAGATTCATCGAATTTGGATCAATTTTCTAGTGAATAAGAAGGAAATTACACGGCATAACCTACCATCTTTCAGTTACACGGTAATAACTCCGAATCGAACTACATTTGGAAACTTACCCGTATCCGGGCAAATCGACAATGTACCAACTTTTATTAACCAAGAAATGATTAATCAACTGAGTCTTTCCTGCAAAAAAAAAAAAATATATATCCATTTAATTTCAATATTCAATCCCAATATTAAATTAAAAAAAAAAAAGAATTCATTTTTAATACAGACAAATATTTCATTCAACCTGGCTTCTTAGAAGTGAGGGCAACTTCCTTTTTGCGGACAAGAAAGTTAATGAGGGAAGACTTTCCGACATTGGACCGGCCCAACATTGCGAATTCGGGCCGTTCGTCTTGCGGGCAATCCTTGGCCCGAATGCTGCTCTTCACGAAATCCACCTCCTTGATTTTCGCGTCGCCGGCGTAGGGTCCCACCACGATGTTTGACCCGGGCAGGACCATGTCCTCCGTCACCTCATCCGGGTCGACCCCCGGCGGCACAAATAGCACCGTCCGCGCGAACTTGTTGGATTTCGCCTCCGCCGCCGCCGCCGCGGCTCCGGAGGCGCGGTGGGGGTTTGGGGTTTGAGAGGCGGCGGCGCGAAACGAGAGCGAAAATGGGGGTGGTGGGCGAGGGTTGGGAGATGGGAATTTGAGGAGAGAGGAGAAAGTGGGGTGAAAGAGACGAGATCTTAGAATCAGTAGCATTATTTTTGCAATAAAATTGATTTATTGAAGAAAGCTTCTATCTATAAGCAAGAACAGAGGATAGAGGGTTTGGGGGTTTTTAAAAATAAACCGATAATCGATTTTATTTTATTTTTTACTTATTTATTTTTTTGAAAATAATAATTGAATCTGAAATGTTAAATGTCGTTTCAATTTTACTAATGTCGTTTTGACTTCGAACCTGAGTTTGACATATTTCTATTTTAATTTTGGCAAACTTCGAAACACGAAAACTGTAGTCATTTGGGTTAGCTTTCTAATCCAATTTAAATCCACTAGATTGGATGTCGTGTGACAAAGTTATGCATGAATGAGTCACATTTTGAATTTTAGATACCTCAATACATCAAAGTTGTGGCAGTATCCGTTGATTCATGTATATCTTTCTCGTCCGATATCGAATTTTGGTGATTCAAGTTGGATTAGAAAACTAACTCAGAATACTACAAATTATATTTTTCGGCTTTTGTAAAATTTGGAATTAAAAAGGATCAAAATCACGCTTGAAGTCGTAACGGTATTATTAAACCTCGAAAGAAATTTATCACATCCCTAATTGAATTATTCCCTCATCAGGGAAAATAATTTTTTTTTTATCATATTAAAGGGAAAAAGATATTCGAAAAAATTGTTATTTTGGATATCGAATGATGCAATATTTATTAAAATAAAAAAAATAATATTATTTTAGTCTAAAATTAAGAATATTTAATAATTCTCTAAATTAATGTACATACTAGACACTTGAAAAGAAATGGACGGAGTATATTTGAAAATCACGATCGAATTTCTCTCCGTAAAAAAATATTTGTCATTTTAGAAATTATTTTTTTTCTTCAAATTATTGGTTAAAATATAATTCAATGCATTTCATGGACTTTTTTGTTTTGGGTTTGATTGGAGAGCCCATCTAGTTTTCATGCCCATTGGTACTTCTTATGGGCCCTAATCAATTGAATTAACCTAATAATTAAACCTAAATGATTTTTGTCAGACTTTTTTTTTTCTATAATCATTTTCATTTTTAAAATATTTTAATTTACTATTTAATTTAAAGTTTTTTTTTTTAAAATACACCAATAACTTAATTTCCGAACATTATTAGAATTTATCATATCAATAGTTTTAATTTTATTATTTTACGAAAGGAGGTGTTCCTGTTTTTGAAAATTTATGAAATTTTCATAAACTTTTTTTAAAGTATTAAAATTCATGTGATTTCCAAAAATTTTGATTCTAAATTTTTATAAATTTTGGAATAGTAATGAATTTCTAGATTCCGAAACTTTTGTAATTGGAATTGGAATTAGTTTGGTACTTTCGAAAAAAAAAATGATTTCTTTTCTAAAAAACTTAATTCGGATCCGTTCCATCCGACGTTCACTCGTACATATATATGATTGAGGCACAGATTGTATACACAACTATTATTATTAGGCTGCGGCTATATGTAATACTAATTTCACTTGTGCGAGATCAAATTAAAGAAATATTCTAAAAGATTCTATTTTATTAACATGAAATGAAAAATATACTCATAAATTAAATTGGCTTTTGTTTGCTTATGCAAGACCAAGACCAAATAACAAATAATGAAAAAAACAAAAATAAGAGAATGGTGAAATTAAAAAATCCCCTGTGAAACCCTACCCTATGCCCAAGCTCCGCCACCGACCGTCGCTCTTGATGCGATGTTTTTGTGGTCTTATACATATTTTTGAAACCTTGGATGAATTTGGACAGTAAACTGCGTCTTCGCATTCGCCTTTTGCTATAAAAAATAAATGAATATTGAAATAAAAAGTAATTGGAAAATAAAAAGTTAGAAAAAAATATGAAACTAAGGTGTCCATAAATTCGACACCTTAATGTCGAAATTTAGTATATTTGACTAATTTGCTAACAGTTAAATTTCAACACTAAGGTGTCGATTTTGTACTCCAAAATCGACATCTCAATGTCGATTTTTACCTATAAAATTTGACATGTACATGTCAACCGCGTCTACGCGGTATTTAAAAAAATATATGAAACAACTAAATTTCGACATTAAGGTGTCGAATATATGTCCATAAATTCGACACCTTAATGTCGAAATTTAGTATATTTGGACTAATTTGCTAACAGTTAAATTTCGACAGTAAGGTGTCGATTTTGTACTCCAAAATCGACATCTCAATGTCGATTTCTACCTATAAAATTCGACCTATACATGCCGACTTCGTCTGCGCCGGATTTTTTTTGGGAAAACGATATTGTAGCTAAAAAGCACATAAATACATATCTTCCTGGGTTCTTCCACCGTATAATCTTCTATTTTGATGTCTTCTGCCACCATACTTGCCATATTTGTAAGATTTGTTGAGTTTTGATGATTTTGAATGTTTAGGTTTTGTGGATTTATAGAGGAGGAAGGAGAAATGTTTTGTGGGTTTTGGAAGATGAGAGTTGGTCTTGTGGTTTTGTGATCGGGTTTTTTGTATTGCACATTTGGAATTTTTAATTTTTTTTAACAAATAAAAATATTACAATATTTATACATTGAAAAATTTAATTTGATCTTGCATAAGTGAAATTAGTCTTGCATATAGCCGCAGCCTTATTATTAACATTTGAAAACTTATTAATCATCCTACACACTTGCAAATTCACCTGAGTGATACAACTCGGATGTTACTCCGTGCAACGAAATTTCCTCAAAATCAGATTTAATGTCATCAATTAATTGCGAAATATGTCATCAAGTGGGGAAAAAAAATACTATATATTAAAAAAACAGCCTTTACATGCAGTGGCGAATCCAGGATTTTAATTAAGGGTGTTCGAAATATAATAACAAAAAAAATATATAAATAATACACATGGAATTTTTTTTTTAAATACTACCGTTTTAATATACAAAAAAAAAGTTCTAAAATATTTTTCGACGTGGTCCTATTTCTTGGAAAAAAGTCATCACTTCGTCGACACTAACATTATCTAATATATCCTTTTCAATGTACGACACCAAAATATTATTCAACAATTGATCCCCCATACGATTGCGTAGTTCTGACTTGACAATCTTCATTGCAGAAAATACCCTTTCCACTGATGCGGTTGCAACCGGCAAAATTAACGACAACTTCAATAGCAAATACACCGATGGATAAGTAATATGTTTTCTCTTTGCAACCAACTTCTCAGCAAGCCTACTAGCCCCCACCATATTTGAAAAGTCTTGATCACTTCTAACATCTCTAATAAAATTTTCAAGTTGATTTTCAAGAACGATAAGACCACAATCATCAAACTCGCTTGGATAAAATCCAGCTAATTTCACCAAAGCATTTGTATCAAAAGCAGAAAACGAATTACTTGGATCAAAACACGATATCAAACTAAGTAACTCCGTATTGGTATTATCAAAACGATCGTTCAACTCTGAAAGTTGAAGATCTATGACTGTGTAAAGCACCTCAATTTGATAATGATTCAAGTTTGTAATTTGTGTACCTCTCCGGGATATTCTGCCATCTCTTGAGTAAAGTAGAAAATTATCATCCATGTTTGGGACAAGAATGTCATGCTCAACACAAAATTCTGAAGTTTCTTGCAACAATTTGCCCCAACCATCTTCTCTCAATTCTTGCAGTCGATCTTTAGCAAAAGTAACAAGCTTCATGGCATTAGCAAGGTCTTGGTCTTTTTTTTGCAATGCTTGTGATAAATCATTTGTGATTCCCAAGACTGATCTCATTAAGTGCAAAACAAAGGCAAACTCAAAACACTCAATATTTCTTAAAAGAATTGTGGCTTGTCCACAATGAGCAACATCATCACCGTTATTTGCTAAATACTTTAGTACATCAACCACCGACGAGAACAACTTAATCATACTCAAGATTGTGAAATAATATGAATTCCAACGTGTATCTCCCGGCCTTTTTAAAGTGGCTTCTTGATTCAAACCACTACCCGTTACAAAATTATCAAAAGAAATCTTTTCGCACAGTTTTTCAAATTGTTTCTCCCGAAGCAACTCTTGACGTTTACAAGAACCTCCAATAATATTTTCTAACATTGCAAGAGAACCAAAAAACTCACATAATTGCTTGTTCTTCTTAGTAATTTGCACAAGAGCCAACTGAAGTTGATGAGCAAAACAATGGACATAAAAAGCAGACTTGTTTTCTTTCAATATTAAACTCTTCAAACCATTAAACTCTCCTTGCATGTTACTAGCTCCATCATAACCTTGGCCACGCACACGTGACAAGCTCAAGCCAAATGTCGTAAGAAGAGACTCAAGAGAAACTTTCAGACATCGTGCAGTAGTGTTTGGAACATGAACAACGCCAATAAAACGTTCAATAATTTTCCCATCACCGTTCACATAAAGTAAAGCAACGGCCATTTGTTCTTTAATGGAAACATCACGTGTCTCGTCAACTAGTAAAGCAAAGAAATCATCACCAATGTCACAAAGAATAGCCTTCAAGACAAAATGGGCAAATGAACTGATAATTTGGTTTTGAATATTTGGTGCTTTCATTATGCAATTTCCCGGAGAGTTATCCAAAACAACTCGATTAATTTCATCGTTGTCTTCCGCCATAACCTTGATAAGCTCAACAAAATTACCTTTATTTAGCGACTCATTTGATTCATCATGCCCCCGCAATGCAAGTCCTTGCCGTAAGAGATATCTTATGGCTTTAGTCGTTGTACGCAACCGAATGTAATACTCACGTTTAGATTCTTTAGTTTTGTTCGCAAGAGGAACATCTATGTGACATTTATTATTCATTAAATCTTGACAAGCCATGTAGCAATGATGATGAACGCTATCATGATTTCCCTCGTGTGTTCTCAAACTCTTTTTCTTGTGCCAATTCTTATAACCTTCACCAACAAATTTATCACCACCCCCTTTTGCACTATCGCCAACCTTAAAAAGATAGCAACATAAGCAAAATACCTCATCTTTACTTTCACTATATTCCAACCAACTACCAAATTCATTGTACCAATCCGCACTAAATCTACGTTCTTGTCCATATAAAGTAGATTGAGGAAATGTATGGAGTCGAGGTTGACAAGGACCTTTTTGTAAGTAAGCTCTCCGGATAGTTTCAAGCTCTTTTGAAGTCTTAGCAAGAACACTAATAGGCAATCTTAATCCCGGGTCGGCCTCAATAGTGTTCGCATTAACTTCTATTTGCAATTGAGAGTGAATACCTTGAACTTGTCCTTCTTGGACGATATCATTAGTTGGCCTTCCAATATTCACATTATCATTTGATGTTGATGGTTCTTCTAGCCGAGAGCGTTTTGTCTTTGTCACAAATCGATCTAGTTTCTGAAAATAAATATAATTAGATAAAAATAGAAGTTTTTATAATAATTAAAAATGGATGGAATCCCTACATAATGTGGTGCACGTGCAAAGTGCATATATCCTTTTGTTTTGCAATTAAAAATTCCACTTAAAATTACAAATTTATATCCTCAAAAAAAAAAAAATAATGAAATTGTTGCTAACCTGTTGCGTCATAGGGATGAATTGGTGGCGGAAATCATGTGTTGTTTGATCGGAGTTGACGAAGGGAGAAGGAAACCAAACCACGATCGTTTTTTTTTTTCCAACTTTTTTGTGTTCTCTGTTTTTATATTTTGTTACAGGAGTAAAAAGTGAAAAACAGAGGAAAAAGCCTTCTGGAAAATGGCCTCTGTTTGTGGGTAAGGTTATATTAATTTTTACTAAATTTCAATTTAACCCCCCATTAGTTATAAATATAAAAACAAACCCAAAAATTAATATATAATTTTTTTTTTTTTTTTTTTTAAATCCAAGGGTGTGCAACTGCACACCCTAGGACCATGCTACATACGCCTCTGTTTACATGGTATAGAGTGATTGCAATAAGTCAAAGTCAACGGAAAATGATCTGCTACAATTATTTTGCAATTTCATACAACCGCCTATTATATTGGAATAGCTTCGAATAATATATCATATATATAGATTCTTCATACCGGTGTTGACTTTCAAATTCCACTAATATTTCGGACCAAATCTATTTTAATTATTCCACTGACAGGTATTTTTATTGTCAATATCAAAAAAGAAAAAAAATAATAAAATTAATAAAAATAATAATAAAATAAAAATAAAAAAATAATAGTAATAACATAAAGAGTAAAAAGCAGTTTGCCCCCTAAACTAATGCCCGTTTTGCGCTTTGCCCCCCAAACAATTTTTTTTTGCACGTTTTTACCTAAACTTGTGTTTTTGTTACACATTGCCCTAAAAATGGTATTTTCTGGTGATTTCCGCCAGAATACTAGACATGTGCAAATCACGTGAGTTTGGCAGGGGCAAACTTGTCACTTCACTCATATTCTTCATTCCCCTTCGTCTCTCCCAACGCCATCCTTCATCCTCCATTTTTGACGCAGATTTTCTCCCCTGTGAAATTTCATCTTTCTCACACACAACTGAAGGAGTAGGATGAATTGTTATTTTTGTTAGAGCAATTTTCTCGATATTTTCTGCACTCTCCCACTCTCGATCTACACAATTCTCACTTTTAACATGGAAATCCATCTCACTTTACCTCCAAGATCCCACTTTTCAGCAATATTTCTGGATGAATGACACTCGATGGATGAAGGGGGAATCGCAAAACTCAATTTCATAGTCGAATTGATTATTCGAAAATAATCCTCAATTCTCGAATCTGAAGAAAATAATTTTCCCATTTTATTTCAATCCACTCCCGACGAAGAAATTCTTACATTCTGAGAATATAAAATTGTACCCCAATCCAAAATCCAAAATCCAAACAATAACAACACACAAACATTAAAAAACATTAACCTTCATATTAAAGCAAACAACAATGGAGTTTTTTTATTTATTTAATTAAGATTAAAAAGCTACTGTACTATTGAATTGGTGATTTTTATTTTCAAAGAAGCATGGAAAATTGATATGCTGAAGCATTCTCATGAGGGGGAAAAAAGCAAAAGCAGCGGAGAAATCATTTTCTACAAAAACCTCGGTCTGCCCATCTCACAATCCTCTCATGTCCAGAATTCCTGGCCAAAAAGGACGGGGAAATTGGGGGATGTATTTTCTTCTGCACTATAAGTGATTAAAGGATGGGGAAGAAGAAGAAGACTAATCAAGGGGAGAAATGGAGAACTTGCTTCTGTGTATTTGAGAATTTGAGAAGAGAGATTACGGAGATGACAAAAAACAAAAAAAATAGAAAGTGAAAAAATAAAAACAGAGAGAGAGGATGGAGAAAAAGAGGGAATGCAAGTGAATGGACAAGTTTGCCCCTGTCAAACTCACGTGATTCGCACATGCCTAGTATTCCAGCGGAAATCACCGGAATATACCGTTTTTAGGGCAACGTGCAACAAAAGCACGAGTTTAGGTAAAAACGTGCAAAAAAAAATTGTTTGGGGGGCAAAGCGCAAAACGAGCATTAGTTTAGGGGGCAAACTGCTTTTTACTCTAACATAAAAATTCATGCCAGCTATCCAAAATTGTTTATAATGACAAATTTAATAATTTTGCCCAGGGCTTCTGAATCACCAGGGCGGCCCCTGTAATTATTGCAGGACAAAATATTTCAATTTGAAGTCACGTACGTTTGTTTTTGTCTCAAGATCTACATGCATATTGCATGGATAATAATTATGGATGAAAATGTACAGCTTTATTTGTTAGTGGCATTTTTGTAATTAATTTTTATTTTTTCATATTTTTTTTTATTAATTCTTCTATTATTTAATTACCAGTTTTATATTATGACAATTAAGTTTATATAATTCTTTGTCGAGTAGTGATGCTGCTCCAAAATGTTGGGTCAGCCCAATGGTCTTGAAGCCCACAGGTCTCCTAAGTCCGGGAATCTTCAAGCCCAATATCGGGAATGCCGAGAATCCTTGCCACGCGTCCGAGGTAGTCGAAGGGATCGCTCCACTCGTTAAATGATGCTGCTCCAAAATGTTGGGTCAGCCCAATGGTCTTGAAGCCCACATGTTTCCTAAGTGCGGGAATCTTCAAGCCCAATATTGGGAATGTCACGCGTCCGAGGTAGTCAAAGGGATCGCTCCACTCGTTAACCTACAAAACAGTTGAAAACACTAGGTGACACGGATTGTCCTCCGATGCTCAAGTCAGAAAACTATCACAATATAAGCAAATAATATTAATTAATTGCCTCAATAGTGCTTACCTTATTATGTGATTGATAACACACATTTATAGGTGGGGTTTGGTATGGTTTTCTTGTAGAAAAACAATGTGGGACAAAAAAATATTAGCTTTCTTCCCATAAGCTTCTCATAAAGTTCTTAATTAAGGCCTTTGTATTGGGCTTTTCCTTTTAATGAGCATCTTGGGCTTTTTGGGTTAACGTCCAATTAGACACATCATTAAGCCCCCCACTCCCAGGTTGAGTCACGGGCCCGTGGGTCTGCCTGGGAGTAATTATGAACAGTCGCTCGAAGACGAAATAATTTTCTTGTTTTCCTTGAGTTTCAAGGTGGTAGGAAATTTTGAAGTCGGCTATAGAGATCTTACAGAGGCGGGCGCTGCAGTTAGACGATGATAGTTTTTTAAGGGAGACCCATTTGTTGTACGGCGGCGATCTGTCGCCAAAATTATTGGAGGAAGTTGTGATATCCATTGGCTTTGTTGCCTAGTGAAAATCGCGCATTTCCTAAAGAATGAGTTATGTTTCAACTTATCCGCAAGACGGCATCCCTTGGATATATCGCCTAGTGGGGGGTCCGTCTCTCGTAAATAATGAGCTTTACTTTATCTTTTTAGCGGGGCGAAACCCCTTGACTTTATTGCCTAGTGGGAGACACGCATTTCGTAAAGAATGAGTTATGATTCACATTTTTCGGTGAGACGGTATCCCTTGGCTATATCGCCTAGTAGGAGGCTCGGCTCTCGTAAAGAATAAACTTTTACTTTATCTTTTTAGGTAAGACGGTATCCCTTGGCTTTAACGCCTAGTGGGAAGTCCGTATTTTTGTAAAAAATGAGTCATGCTTCACCTTTTTCGGTGAGACGGTATCCGTTGGCTATATCGCCTAGTGGGAGGCTCGACTCTCGTAAAGAATAAGCTTTTACTTTATCTTTTTAGGTAAGACGGTATCCCTTGGCTTTAATGCCTAGTGGGAAGTCCGTATTTTTGCACTTGGTGGTTGATCAGACCCTCAAGTTTTTTATGCAGGAAGTCTGCCCGTTTACCTAAGTTTTTTGTGGTGGGTAAGACTTCCCTGAGCTTTAGTTGCTCTATTTTTTGGAGCTTTGGGGAGCGAGAAACCAAGGTTTGGATTGGCCAGACCCTTTGTGATCCCTGATATCTTCCCCTTTAGCTATTTTTTGAGTCAATTGATTTTTTGTTAAACCAATTGTAGATGCCTCGAACGAAAACGCGTAGAGAAGACAAATGGTTGATGTAGAAATTACGGCGGCGGTATCCCACCGGCTAAAATAGTTTATTAAGAATCATGCTGACGGTATGCCTTGAAAATATTGTGCGGGGCGGTATGCCATCGATTATTGCTGAAAAGAAATTACATGAGGCCCGCGTGGGGCAATAGTAAATACTAAGTAAAGTATTTCTTCAGGATTGCGATTGTTCTAGGAATTCTCTCAAGTGCCCGTTGTGGACAAGTCTTTCGAGCGCTCGCATAAGCTGAAAACACTCCTCAGCAGTGTGACCTCGATCTCTGTGGTATTCACTGTAATCATCCAAATTTTTTCGTTATGGATTCTCCTTCATCCATCTCGATGGTTGAAGAATTTATTTTTGCTCTGCGATGATCATTATGTCAACAAGCTTATCCTTGAGAGGTGAGAACTTCTCGAAGGTGCGATTTTTTGCGGAACGCCTCTCTTATTTTCTATTATAGCTGTGGCTTCCCTCGTCGCGCTTTCGCTTAAGGGGTACCCTCATCTATGCAGTCTCCTCAATCCGAATGTACTTCTTAGTGCGATTCAGGAGCTCCTCTAGGGTCATAGGGGGTTGGCCTGCGATGTACTCTTGAAAGCGAACATGCTTCAAATTGTGTTACAATATGTCGGTTACCATTTCGTGATTAAAGAGGGGCACTTCATGTACTGCTTTGACAAATTGTTGCAAGTAATTCATTAGCGACTCTCCGTCTCGCTGTATGACCTTGAAGAGATACGACCAGTTTTGGCGTATTTCTTGCTTATAGAGTATTGGTGACGGAAAATCGTCGTTAGTTGGTCCAGATTGTCTATGGACGATCCGGGCAAGCTGTTGAACCAAATTTGTACCTAATCTGCTAGCGTGGTCCGAAAAATCTTGCAGTGAGCTGCGTTACTAAGACCGTAGAGGTCAATCTTGGCTTAAAAATTATTTAAGTGATCTTAAGGATCCCCGGTTTCGTCGAATTGGGGGAGATTAGGATCCTGAATCTGAGAGGCAACACTTCTTTCACAATAGCAGGAATAAATGGGTAATTCGGGTGGACAATGCTCCAAAGTGAGCGGCCGTCGACCTCGAGACTTCTCGTCGAGGACTCCTTTAATTGCAGTCGTCGGAGCCTGGTCGATGCCTTCTTGCTTATTAGTGTCGGGAAGCTCTACTTCCGAGTTAGTTTCGAGGGGAGTTTTCGCGGTGGTGCGCATGTTCGTGGTGTCCTCCGCCTCAAGGCCTTTGATGATAGTCATACGACCGGGAATAACTAACCGCTTCTCATCCGACGGCTTTCCATCGCTCTCTCCCTTGAAGGGGCTCGGGCTCTTTGCCTTAGTGGACGTTGTGATTGGCGACGAGTTTCCCTTCGAAGCGCGCGGTCTGATGATGTGTTACGCCGAGACTAGTGGCGGTGAGCGTTTCTTTGCGGCGCGCGGTCTGAGGATGTGCTACGCTGAGGCGAGTGGTAGTGAGCGTATCTTCGAGGCGCGCGGTCTGAGGATGTGCTACGCTGAGGCGAGTGGCGGTGAGTGTTTCTTCGAGGCGCGAGGTCAGAGAATGTGCTACGCTGAGGCGAGTGGTGGTGATCGTATATTCGAGGCACACGGTCTGAGGATGCGCTACGCTGAGGCAAGTGGTGGTTAGCGTATATTCGAGGAGCCCGTTCGGAGGAAGAACTTTGGCCGTCAAGCGATACTCTTTCTTCAGAGTCATGGAGCTCCACAATTGGCGGAGTGGTATGGACATGCACGGAATCCGTAGGATCGCTTCCGATATGAATAGTTTCTTCAAAGTCAGTTGTGCCTTGAGCATTGATATACTGAGCTACAACGTCCGTCGCTGCCCAAGATGCTACTTTGGCCGCCGTCTTCTCCATTAAGGCTTGTAATTCCTCTGCAGTCATCTAGATGACCGGCGCTGAAGATCCCGCAAGGTTGGCCGCTCCCGTCGTTCTCTTCCTTCGAAGCGGCTCTATGACTCCAGCGTTACCTTGAAGCGGATGGTTGAGATCGCCTTGACCACCTTCGTTGGCCGCTCCCGTAGTTCTTTTCGTTCGAGTCGACTCTGGGACTCTGCCGTTACTTCGAGGCGGTTGGTTGAGATTGCCCTGACCACCTTCGTTGGCCGCTTCCGTAGTTCTTTTCCTTTTCCGCAGCTTTGAGACTCCACTGCTACCTTGAAGCGGTTGGTTGGGATCGCCTTGACCCTATTCGTTGGCCGCTCCCGTAGTTCTTTTGCTTCGAGGCGGCTCTAAGACTCTGCCGCTATCTCGAGGCGGCTCTGAGACTTCGTCGCTTCCTCGAGGCGATTAGTTGGGATCGCTTTGACCCTCTTCTTTGTCTGCTCCCGTAGTTCTTTTGCTTCGAGACGGCTCTAAGACTATGCCGCTACCTCGAGGCTCTAAGACTCCGTCGCTTCCTCGAGGCGGTTGGTTGGGATCGTTTTGACCCTTTTCGTTGGCCGCTCTCATAGTTCTTTTGCTTCGAGGTGGCTCTAAGACTCTGCCGCTCCTCGAGGCGGCTCTAAGACTCCGTCGCTTCCTCGAGGCGGTTGGTTGGAATCGCCTTGACCCTCTTCGTTGGTCGCTCTCGTAGTTCTTTTGCTTCGAGGCGGCTGTAAGACTCTACCGCTCCTCGAGACGGCTCTAAGACTCCGTCGCTTCCTCGAGAAGGCTCTAAGACTCTGCCGCTACCTCGAGACGGCTCTAAGCATCATTCCCACAGACGACGCCAAAATGATGCTGCTCCAAAATGTTGGGTCAGCCCAATGGTCTTGAAGCCCACAGGTCTCCTAAGTCCGGGAATCTTCAAGCCCGATATCGGGAATGCCGAGAGTCCTTGCCACGCGTCCGAGATAGTCGAAGGGATCGCTCCACTCGTTAAATGATGCTGTTCCAAAATGTTGGGTCAGCCCAATGGTCTTGAAGCCCACATGTCTCCTAAGTGCGGGAATCTTCAAGCCCAATATCGGGAATGCCGAGAGTCCTTGCCACGCGTCCGAGGTAGTCGAAGGGATCCCTCCACTCGTTAAATGATGCTGCTCCAAAATGTTGGGTCAGCCCAATGGTCTTGAAGCCTACAGGTCTCCTAAGTCCGGGAATCTTCAAGCCCAATCGGGAATGCCGAGAGTCCTTGCCACGCGTCCGAGGTAGTCAAAGGGATCACTCCACTCGTTAACCTACAAAACAGTTGAAAACACTAGGTGACACGGATTGTCCTCCGATGCTCAAGTCAGAAAACTATCACAATATAAGCAAATAATATTAATTAATTGCCTAAATAGTGCTTACCTTATTATGTGATTGATAACACACATTTATAGGTGGAGTTTGGTATGTTTTCTTGTAGAAAAACAATGTGGGACAAAAAAATATTAGCTTTCTTCCCATAAGCTTCTCATAAAGTTCTTAATTAAGGCCTTTGTATTGGGTTTTTCCTTTTTATTGAACATCTTGGGCTTTTTGGGTTAACGTCCAATTAGACACATCAAGTAGGTTCGTATTATCAAATTTATATGAATGTTGATGTTGTTACTGATATCAGTAATAAATTTTATTATAGTTATTATTGTCATGTTTTGAATTAATTATTTCTTTTAATTTTGAAATATTATCCCGTGCATCACACAGGGAAAAAGTAAAAAAATACTAGTACAGTTAAACCTCTATAAATTAATATAGTCGAGACTAACAAAATTAATATAGTCGAGACTAACTTAGCAAAATATTAAATTATCGAACTAATAATTTAGTAGGTTTTCACTAAGTCGGGATATAAAACAAAAAAAATATTTAGACGAGGTTATTACTGTATATTTAAAACTAAAAAGTAAAAACACATGTACTCTCAAAAAAAAAAAAAAAAAAAAAAAAAACTAAAAACACATGCATGAATCTAATTATAATTTTCTTAGCTTAATGCATCACTTATAATATACCATAAGTAGGGCTGGGACTGGGTTGGTTTTTATCCACCAACCGACCCATTACCGACCATATTTTTAGGCGGATAATCAATTTTTAACCGACCCATTGGATCGGGTCGAAAATTTCAACCAACCCATCTATAATGGGTTGGTTGGTGGTTTCTAATATTATCAAAAGTTGGTTGACCGATAATTATCGGTTATCCAACTATACTATTAAAATTTTATTAAAATATAAAATAAAGCCCGTTTTCTCTTAAGTGGTTATTGAAATTATCAAAATAATTAGTATTTTAAATTTTAAAACAATCAACAAAGGAAACAATTTTGACATAAATCTTCCACCAGTTTCTTTATGCCAAAACTTAAACAAAGAGCCCAAAAAACTCCACTAAATCTCTTGTGCATGTTTGAAATTACTTTGAATTTCCTAATTATATTTTTTCTTCAAATTGTTATTAATTATTTGGAACAGATAAATAATGATCGCATCGCGGCATTATGCAAAATGTGGATGTTTTACTCCAAAATTTGATTTTTTTTAAGTGAACTAGGTGGCGGGTATAAACCATCAACCGACCCATTCCGGAACCAAATATATGGTTGCCAACCATCAACCGACCCACAAATGTTGGGTCGGCAACGGTTTTCAAATTTGAGCAAAAATGGTTTGACGGATGGGTCGGTTTTTAGGCTGGTAATAGACCGACCCAACCCAGTCCCAGCCCTAACCATAAGTATTACAATAATTTTATTTATTAAAATCCAAAAATAGCAAATTTGAAAAAAAAATATATATAATATAATCTAAAGGAGTGCAGTTGGCTCGGAGCAGAAAGCAAGTGTTCCTGGACTCATAAGTATAGAAGAGCACCATGCAAGCGACGCCGGCGACAAGGTAAACCCTAGCGGACTGAGGGCCCCACATGTTTTCTCGAATGATTTTCGAGATTCTTTTTCTTCTTCTTGATCTACATCAATAATAGCATTATCCCAATTCTCCGACGGATGGAAGAATGCCGGCGGAGATAGCCTTAGTGGTGGCGGGGCCACCTCCTGCAGCCGCGTGGGCCGCCGGAGCTCCGGTTTCAGGCCGGTTAGCTTCTGGACGGCATCCTTGAAATCGGCGGGGTCCACCTTGTAGAGCTTTGGCGGGGTCCGTGGAATAGGCGCGATTGGTAATTTCTTGGGAATAAAGCTCTTCGCCGGAAACTTGCGCACGGAGTGGAGGGCGGCGGTGAAAGCTGGCGGAGGCGGCGGCTGTTTCCGGCGAGCCCTGATTTGTTGGTGCTGATCATTATATTGATTGTAATAAGGAAACTGATGAGTTGAAGAAGAATAATTAGAATATTCATTAATATTGTATGAATAATATGAGTCCATGATTTTGTGCTATATAATGTATGTGATGAACAAACTCTTGCCTTGAAGTGATGTATATATAAGACACTAACTCATGAGTTAATTGCATTCAATACCCCTACATTATATTATATTTTCAAATATATTTCTCAATTATTAATTACTATTAGCATAATCTCTCGTGTACTTTACATATTTATTTTACTTTATTTTTTAATGAAGCAAAATCCACGGCCAACTACATAAGTGTACTGGATAAATTTAACTCTGGTGTAACAGCTCGTAAACTGCACAACAAATTCAAACCATGCTAGGTATTTGAAGTAAAAGATAGTTATTTAATTATAAAAATAATTGTTAATTGGCATAAGCGATAATAAATAGAGAAAATAAAAGGTTTCCCTACAATAATATTTGAATTTGAAATTAACTATATAGCAAGAAAAACGATTCAATAAAAAAAAGCTCACAAACGTTGCTCATGAAACACAAGATCTATTAGAATCACTCTATTAACTTGTGTTTGCTTTATTTAGTATTTTTTTTGTTTCCTCCTAGTTTTCGAGTTTTATTAGGATTTTGTTACTTTTAAACGTTATAAATTTAAATACGTCCATAATAGTGAGAATTTCATAACTTTTGAAAGTAATACAATTTTTAGAGCATTCTCTCTCTCTTTTTTTTTTTCTTTTTTTTTTGGTGGATTTTGAAAATATTTCTTTATTCTATAGAATTAATTCGTAAAAAAAATGTGATTTCTTTCCACGCTTCCGTCATGCGTCATACAATCGTAAGCTCTATTTTTCTTTTTCGCCCTTTATGTACTTTCTATTTAGGCTAATATAAGAACTAATGATATTTCAATAATTCAGATAACAAGTTGCAAGAAATTGAATTAAAAACAATTAAGAAGGGATACTAGTGAAAGAGACCTTGAAGTTGAATCAAGAGAGAGAGAAATCTAGAGAGAGAGAGAGCAAATATTTTGAGTTTTGTCTTCAGCGTCGGCACACCTGACCGGAAGCTGACCTTACATTTTGGTGGGCAATTTTGACTGTCAAAATATTATTTATACACTATATATAATTTAATACTAATCTTATAAAATATATTATTTTATTACATCCATTATTGTGTTATTAATACAGGCAAAATAGTGTAGTTGAAAATCTCCCGGATTATTGATTTCGTCACTGTTTCTCATAATGCACCTATTTATTGAGTGCAACGTAACCACAAGTGGTCCAGATTTATTGGATAACCAGCCGCCATGCCTTTGATAATTCATCTTAAATATTTAATTAATTATTTATTTATTTTGTGTGATTTGTCCCATGCAAATATGCAATAATGAAAAAAAAATATTACGTTTATATATATAGTATGTATGTGTTATATACCTGAGCATGGGTTGGTTTTACCAGCCAACCGACCAACTTAATTTCGACCCATTTTCAATAATCGATAACTGATTATTGACTGACCTATATAGTCGGGCCGGTGATTTTAACCTACCAATGTATAAATAGATCGGTCGGTGGGTTTCAGATTACTTAAAAGTCGGTTGGCCGATAATTATCCGACTAACTGACTTTTTTAATGATAAAACTTTATTATAAATATTTAATTGTAATTCTTATTTTTAAAAGTTAAAATTAATAATATATAAAAGAAGTCAAATTTCGAAAACTCAAAATACAAAATTTGTAGACTCTACTTACTATTTTTATTTTATAATTCTTATTTCCTATCCGTCTTTTATATATTTACTTATTGTAGAAATTTAGGAAGAAAAAAATCTTAATTTTAAAGTTAGGATTTTTAAAATATAAAGTTTTCCCATTAATTTTGAATATCTTCTGAAAAACTTCTAAAAAAATTGGTAGCATAACGTCTTATTATTGTAAAGGAAAAAAAAAAATCGATACATATCAACCAACCGCCCCATATTTTACCCGACAAAATTGGTTGTCAACTATTATCCGAACCGTAATGGCAGGCCATAATAATTTGCAATAGTTAAATAAGTCATTTAGTCGGGTCAGATTGATAATTGGCCGATAATTATAAGACCCGACCCATGCCCAGCCGAGAAAAAAATATATTGTTAGTCATATAAGGGCATCTCCAACGGAGTAAGCAAATCGGGTCTCCAAATTCTATTTTGGAGACCAGTATAGAGACCCGGTGGGATCTTAGAGTCTCTAAAAAATAAAATTTCACAGCGAAGGGCTCTTGAGTCCCTAAACAAAGTCCCATGATACACATGAGTCTCCAAACAAAGTCCTATATTTAGAATTAAGTTTGGAGATTATGCAAAAATCTGAAAATTTAGAGACCCATTAAATTTCTTGTTGGTGTTGAATTTTCTTCTACAATTTCTATATTCTAAAGCCAAATAAAGTTTGCTTACTATACTGAAGATGCCCTAAGAATTGTTTTACTCATCAAAAAGTGTAATTTTAATGTGTTCTATAAATGACTGCTTATGACTTATGAGCCTAAAAGTAGGATTGAATTTAATGCAGTTTATAATTAAAAGTCTAATTCCACGCCACTAAGATTTAACAGAGAAGTCAATAAGGACAATCACTACTTAATTTATTGAAGATTTTTTTAAATAAATAATAAATACTAGAGTATTGTAGACTTCAAATATATATTGATCATTACACACCTTATTATTTAGCGGCGGCGCCACCACTTTTAGGCGGCGAGTTGCCTCGTTCCAGATCGTAAAGTTATTGCTTGTAATTGAGAAACATTAGTGTCTAATTAGTACTAGACTATATGGGAAGAATGTCTAAATAATACTAGATGTTATTTTCGGCGAATTTTGTTCGCTGATTTTCCGATTTCGATTTGTGTATGTAAAATTTGAATTGAAGATACACAGGTGTATGATAGGATATAATTCGTTAAATTCGTCAAGTGTGGCTCATAAAAAAAAAAACCAATATTTCGGTTATTATACTCATGATTTTTTTTATTATTTAAATTATATATATAAGGGGTAATAACAATCAGGGGCGTACCCACGCCTAAGGCTGGGGTGGCCCCCGCCCCCCCAAGATTTTTTTTAAGCTGTTTTTTTTTTTTTAGGTATTTATGTATTAGTTTATACACTTTCGCCCCCTCAAACTTTTAATTTTCTACACTTTAGTCCCTAAAAACAAAAAAAAATTCTCTCTTAAATTACCCATATATTTCCGCCCCCAAGAAAACCCCCCCGGGTCCGCCCCTGATAACAATCACCTCCCTGATGTAAAAGTGTAATCATAAAAAAATCCATCTTTTTGAGAAATTACATCCTACTCCCTACAGTTTGAAAATTTATTACATTCACTATCGTATAAAATGGTGTTAATGTATGAAATCTTGTAATACTCAATCCTAAACACACTAAGCAATATTACAAATAATTTCCTAAGAATTTACCACACAAAATAATATTTTTATTAAGCTTCTAAATTTTTTTTTGGGCTCAAGGCAAAATTCAATTCTTACTCCAATTTGCATGGCCAATAATTATGAAAAAACGTAGTCCACACATTTCATGACAATTTGTACTCCCTCCATTTCGCATCATCTATCGTTTACTTCGTCTGTTTCTAATTAATTGTCGTTTTTCAGCTTTGCACAAGTATTATTAATCTCAATAAGTATGTTTTGATTTTAGACAAACAAACAAAAAAACACATTAAAAAGACTAAAATAACATTTATCATTTAATGATATGATATGATAAGAGAGAGTTAATATTTAGAGTACAATTAATAAGTTTAAAACATGAAAAAAATATATTTAATGCAGTATTGAAAATCAAAAGTGACATAATATGAAACAAAAATAATTAAGCGAGCAATCTAAACAACTTCGGGACTCATAAGTACAGACCAACACCAAGCGAGTGATGAAGGTGACAAGCTAAAATCAATTGGACTTATAATAACTGATCCACAATTATTATTATTCTCATACGATTTTCGAAAATTTTTCTCTTCTTCTTTTTCATCTTTAGCCACAATATTAGCAGTAGCATCCCAATACGGTGAAGCCGGATGAAAGTAAGCTGGCGGAGGGACGCTGAGAGGCGGCGGAGCCACCTCCTGCAGCCGCGTGAACCCCGACGAAGCACCGGTTAGCTTCTGAACGGCATCCTTGAAATCGGCGGGGCTCACCTTGTAGAGCTTCGGTGGGGTCCGCGGAAGAGGTGCGATCGGTAATTTCTTGGTAATAAATTTCTTCGTCGGAAACTTACGGACGCAGTGGAGGGATGCGGTGAATGCCGGCAGCGGCGGCGGCTGTTTCCGGCGAGTCCTGATTTCTTGCTGCTGGTAATATTGATTATAAGGAAAGTAATGAGTTGAAGAATAATAATAAGAATCTTCATGAGAAGAAGAATTTCTTTTAATGTATGAATTTGAGTCCATGATTGCTAATTATTTATGATATATAATTATATTTTAAATGCGATGAAAAAGATTTTTGGCTTTCGGTGATGTATTTATAGTACATTATTTTGAGCAATATATATAATTTGCAAGAGTTTGAAATAATCAAAGAAATAATATAATTAATTAGAGGGGTAACTGGGGAAGTGAAAGATGCCTTAAAGTTGGTCAAACGACTGAAATATAGCAAAATTATTTAATTTTTTTTTTATTTTATATTTGACCAAAATATATAATTAAATTGATATAATGCCCTTCACCCCTTATAAATTTTCATTTTTGACATTTTTTCCTCTAAAAATTCAGAAAAGAGATGACCCCTCTCGAAATATTGATTTAGTTACACTTTACTCCAAAATCCAATTTTCGGTGGACATTGTGCAATAAAAATAGCATTTTAAAGAGGCATTGTGTTGAAAAATATTGTATTTAAGGGTCAACGTGCAATAAAAATAACAATTAAAAGGGTAACGTGCAAAAAAAAAAAAAAAGAACACTCAATTCCGATTAATAATCTATCGAAATTTTGTTGTCGGGGCAATGTGCAACAGGTATAACATTTTGAAGATGGACATTCATTTTTTTAAATTTTGAGGAGGTAAAGTTCGAAAATTACAAAATTATAGAGGTTGACATGCAATTTGCCCTAATTAAGTATATAAAACGGAAAAAATATTATCTTAGAGAGGCACAAATCTGCTAATGTAAAGAAATTGAAAACACAAACCATACATAGTTTGCAAAAATAAATAGGTAAACTACGAGAAAATCCCTAGGTTAGTTTGATTATGAAAATTCTCTCCATATTTGCGTAATTATGAAAACCTCGACGAGGTATGTATCCTTCTTAAACAGTTCTTCTACGGTGTTACTTTTAGCGAAATCTTTTGATTCCATGGAATATTTCTCTAAAAATATTATTTTTGACCTTGAACATGTGTTATTACTATTGTAATTGTACAAACAAGAGATCTTTTCATAAGTAGACCTTATCTTAAGGGGTTCTCGTAATTTACCCGAAATAAGAATATAAAACACATAAACAAGTGTAGTATTAAAAATCTTATTTGTAATGTAATTTTAAAGAATTTCAATGATCAATTTTTTTAATATATGATGTGTTACTTAAAGTTTATAACTATTAGCCAAAATTCGCAACTTTTTTTTGGGATACTTGTGATAAAAATGGTTGATCGCCTCTGACGTCATTATTATGTCATAAATAGTATATTTGGATTCTAGTCTCGTGGAAAAAAAAAATAAAAAAATTAGATTCTTGTTGGTTCAATCGTCAATTTCTCATATTTATTTAGTCAACCACAAAATGTCAAAATAGATTTGAAGTGGTCAAGATTTATCAATAATCAGCCGCCAGGGACTTCAATAATTCAGCCTGAATATATTATTTCAATTTAATGTTGCATGTATATGTATTAAGTTATATTTACAAAAGAATATTTTGCATCAGCTTTTCTAATTCAAAGGTATTTTTTTGTAATTAATTAGAAATAGGATTAATTATGTGTGCCACCAAAAATTAAAGTTAATACTAATCACAATTTCTACTTATATGACTTACAAACTCTAATTATGTGTTCAAAGTCAATTTAGTAGAACATTTTTTTCTCAAAAGAGATAAAGGAAAAAAAGAAAAAAAAAAAAGAGATTGTTAGAACATTTTGCATGCATTCCACATTTTTAGAGAGGTAATAAATAATTTCTTAAACTTTTACTTTGCAATCACCAATTTTTACTTTCCTCAAATTCTTGTTCGGTTATTTCTAAACTACACATGTTGAAGATTACAGCAGATGAAATTTTGATTGTTGATTAACACATCAATATATGTGTGTGTGTTTGTATAAACGAAGAGTAAATATCTATTCCGCATTTTGTATTTCACCAGGTGTAACATTGTATAGATATACTTGTTCCTTGGGAATTGTGAAGTTGCCGCTTGTACTTTAAGACTTTAATAAAATTTTTGCCTCATAAACTTTGAAATATTCATAAAAAAATTCTAATTTCAATTTGTAAATTAGGACCATCCTCTTTGATGGCTAGCAACCGATTACTTAGTTCCAAAATGGGTCGGTTGATGGGCATACACGTCACCTAATTCACTTACAAAAAAGAAAAAGAAAAAAAAAACAAATTTTAGGGTAAACGTATGCACATTCTGGCTAGTGCCACTCGCCATGATCATTTATCAGTTCAAAATAGTTACTAGCAATCGACACAAAATATAATTTTGAAATTCAAACTAATCCCAAACATGCACGTTGTTAAGTGTATATTTTTACACTTATTCGTACCTTTTAATTGGAGCTTTTAGTGTGTTTTAACGGTAATTGGTGCTTAAAATGTTGATTATTTGTATTTTAGGTACAAATTGAAGAATTGGAAACTTATGGGGTAAAAATTGCAATTTCGGAGAAAAAGTGGGCCAAAAGTGAAAAAAAATTATAACTTCGAAGAATTGAAGTCCGGACGGCCGTCCGAGTTTCAGCGTTAATTTTGACACAGCCGTCCGAGATCACGAGTAGGCGCAGTGAAGGAAGTTTAATTACACAAGGAAACCGCCTTCCTATCTTTTTACACCATATATAAGGCCAAGCCAATCACACAATTGGGGATCTTATCTTTTTACACGCAATCTAGGAGCAAGAGAACGGAGCAACGAAGACAAAGACTCGACGAATCTTCATCATAGTTCTCCCTTTACTTTTATTCACAATTTTTATGATTTTTCGTATTTTTATTATGCTTTTCGTAGAGAACATGAGTAGCTAAGTTTTTAATCTAGGATTTTGTTGGAACCCTATGTGGTGATTCGAACCTATTTTTCTAATATTATGCAAGTTTAAATTCCTTGATTATTTCTTCTATTTGATCTTATTTAGCGCATGAACGTAGCTAATTTATGTTGCTATATGTTATTGTTAGAATTGATTGACATATCGTTTTAATAATTAGAACAAGGATAGGAGAGCCTTCGAGTAGTTTTCACCGGATGAGTGTGTTAATTGCATGTGTTATCGTAGATATACAGATAATACCTTAGGTAGCCGTTTATGAGACTTGTTATTTAATGCTTTATTCATACTAGGTTTGCATAGACATATAGTGAATCGTTTATGAATAATAGACTCATAATACACGCGACAGCGGATTATGAGTAATTGAGTGTCTCGGGTTAATAATCGAGAATCATAATTTGCATGACAGAGGTTAATTGGGTGACGAATTACCGCATAGGGGAAGATAAAATCCTAGATCCGTTTTATATTGATATTTTCTCGTGATTATTTGCTTTCTTAATTAGTTTAATTGTTTAATTGATTAAATTTGACAAACTTGCGTAGGCTGGATAAAAATTATAGTTGTTAGAATTTGGTACTTAGAATTAGGTAATTTGAGTATTCCCTGTGGGATCGACATCCGACTCTCACAAATCCACTTTTACTACTTGTTTGCGATACGTGCACTTACGTGTTAGGTATTTAACCCCAACACACGTTCCCAAATTTTGGTGAAAGATTTCTATTTATTTTTTCTCCTTGTTGACTTTTTGTTTAATATAAAATCCTGACTATTTCAATACCAATTCTTAAGAAAACCCATTTTATAATAAAATTTTATTGACACAGTTGGTTGACCTAAAATTATCGGTCAATCGAATTTTGATAATATTAGAAGCCATCAACCAACCTATTATAGATGGGAATTGATCAAAAATTTCGACCGGATCCAGTGGGTAGGTGAAAAATGTATTATTTGCCTTAAAATATGTTCAGAAATATATCAGTTATTAGGTGGAAACCCCAACCCAGATAAAACTTTACTTTGTTGATAAATCAAAATCATCTTATTTTGAAATAACGCAATATATACTCAAATACTAGACCATCGTTATAATCTGCAAACAACCACGTATTATTATACTTATCAAAAGAAAGAAGAAAAAAATAGAAAAAAATGAACCACGTATTATTATGTAGGACTTGTTGAAGAATCTAATTAATTATATTTTTAACATATACAATAAATCTCAAAAGACAAGATCATTAGCGGTGGTCAATAATTAATAGTTATGAATTTCGAGAAATTAGATTAAAAAACAGAAACGATGAAGAAAAAGGGTAAACAAGAATAAACACGATGGAAATTGAAATTTATAATTGAAATTAGGGTTGTCCTCGGACCGACTCACCAATCAACCCATTTTCGACCTATATTTTTTTATGGATAATCAACCATCAACCAACTCATTCAAGCTGGTCGATATATAATATCAACCAACCCATGTATAGTTGTTTATAATATGCTAAAAAGTTGGTTAATCGGGTAATATTGGCCAACCAACTTAATTTATTATTTATTAATTTTATTTTTTATCTAATATTGACTAAACTCAAAACACATAAACATAATTTATGGAGATTAACTATTCTGAAGTATTGAATTCTTGTTCAGTTCATGCTAATTGAGAAATTAGCATAAAATTTCAATATGTTGTGTAGAATTTTGGAATTTTTGTTTTATGTTGAACTATTTTAATTTGAAGACACATGAGGTGAAATATATGAGTTTATTATAATATTGTTGAACTATATTTATGTTTAATTGCAATACATATAGCTTATAATATTTTGAATTTTTTTATTAAATATTGTTGAACTAATTGTTAATTGTAATAATATAATATTGTTGTAATAAAATATTTAAAAGAGTGATGTTTTTTAGAAATGTGGATGACCATCAACCAACCCACCAACCGCCCCATAAAGTTGAATGTCAACCAACATCCAACCCATCTAAATTGGGTCAATAATGGTTTTCAATATTTACCATTGTTGGTTAGTTGGATTGGGTTGGTTTAATAGCCGATAATCAACCAACCCAACCCACGAACAACCCTAACTAAAATCGATAATTATATATTTATATTAATTGTTAAATATAGTATTTGATCAAAAAAAATGTTAAATATAGTATATTTATACATGCTGATTCTTGGTCAGTCCAGTAAGACCCATAACCCGGCCTAGAACTATCCAGTTTTAGAAATTACAATCCATTACCCAACTCAAAATTATTTAACTTATCCACGCCCGCCTAAGCAAGTCAATTACGGATCTAAAACCCGACAAATCCATACATTTTACCTATCTATAGTATCTTGCCCTACACTGACTTCCCACTGCAAATAGAAGAGTTGAGTTACGTCATATGTGATAAGTTAGCTCAAATAATCAACCTTTGTAGTAAAACCAATATTTAATCGGCTCCAATTTTGACAAATTCCACCCGAATCATTGGATGTATCAAACGAAGTTTAAATTAATAAGACACACATATCACGGTTAATACTTAATAGAGCTCCACTTGGTCAGAAATCAGAATCCATATCAGCTCTATATAGTATTAAATTTGAACAAATCCAAATAAGAGAATATAATTAAAATATAGCCCCACTATTACTTAGTTATCTAAATAAATACAACTTTCCAATCATTCATTTAAATAAATACAATTTTCCAGTCGTCTTTTTATTTTCTCTCTCTCTTCTATACAGAACTGTATTAAGATCACACTTTCAGCTAGCGTTGATCATAAGCTACCAAATTTGGTGTTTAAACACAAAAATTCTTAGACAGAAAAAAAAAAAAAAAGATATATAAATAAATAAAATGAGCGCCAAAATAGATCGAAAGAAGAGCAAATTCGCCAGATACACGAAAGGACCAATCAAAATTCTAACCCGAGTTCGAGATTTCTACGTGCAGAGCCTAACCGGTTGTGCCGGACAAGTCTCCTACGGCGGCGATGCCTTCGGCTTTCCGGCGGCACACAATTTCTCGAATTTGCGGAGGAGTTTAAGTGCCAGCTCATCCTATTCGAATTCCGGTACTAGAGACGAGGATTTGAGGGAGCTAGTAAGGATTGCTTCCACTCGCAGCCTCACCGGGAAAATCGAGGCGGAGCTCCTCCGGTCGCCTGTGCGCGGAGGAGGCGTGGCGGCGATCCGCCGGAGCAGGACGGTTACTATTGGCCGGATTGATGAAGAGAAGCCGTGTGAATTTGGGGGAGTCGAAGGCGGCTGCGGAGCTAGGGCGGAGGTTTTTCCCCGGAGTAGAAGCTATGCTGCTTGAAGAAGAAGACGGTTTTAATTTGGAAATATTCAAAAGAATTTGACGGTTTGATTTCTTTTTTTGCTGTTTTATTAATTTGTTTTTTGCTGTTTTATTAATTTGTTCTGTTTGTGAATAAGCAATTTGTACGATTGAGAAAGGTGGTGTGTGTTATTGTTCTTTTTAGTATGTAGCATTTAGCATGATCATCATAGGGTAAATTACTGTTATTCCTATCGTAATTTTAAATTACGAAAAAATCATTTATATTTGGATAATTACAACCATCTATTAATTATGGTGTTAAATTCAACATAATTTTCTCGATTTTATGAAATGTTCTTTAGTTCATTTGTACTCAGTTTGTGAAAAAATGCAGTTTCTGATGCACCACAATCAGATATATACAAAATCAAAAAATACATCTTTAAATGTGGAGCTGGAGTGGGGTAAAATAGGTACAAACCGAAGAATATTCCACATAATCTAAAAGATTCTATTAAATTTGGCACTACAATGATGGACATGTAAGAAAATTCATAGTTGAGAAGTGGTTGTAATTATCCAATTAATAGGATTTTTTTTGTAATTTGACATTATCTCAAAGGTGACTGTAATTTATTTGATTATTTTTTTTTTCATGGTTGGTAGTAAATTATATGTTCGTGGATAAATTTAATTATTTTTTTCTTTGTTTTTTTAATCCATTGCATCAAAAGCGTGTTAAGTTATTACAACCCACAAGTACAACGGAGTTAAATGCAAAAACTCCCCCTGTGTTAATCCTAAAAACCAGAAAACCCCATGTGATAAAAAAAGTGACCCAAACCCCCCTGTATTCAATAGTCAAAGTCGTTTCCCCCCCTCCCGATCGGTTGTGTCGTCCACGCGCTATTCGTGCGACTCCTGTTTGATTTTTGTACAATATTTTGTATGAAAAGACAAAACCGCCTCTATGAAACCTTCTGTATTTTTAGTTTTCAATTTAAACAAATAAAAATTGTGAAAAGATATATATTATATAAATTAATTAATTAAAAAATCATGTTCTTCTTCCCTGCCCAAGCCTCCTCCGCCGCCGCCATTAAAAAATCAAGTTCTACCTCCAGAGTTGCCCAAGCCTCCTTCGCCGCCATCTGCTTGCAGCAATTCCCTTTATCATCCTTCTCCCCCGCTTAAATCTCTTCTCCAAGTTGTCGTCCGGCGACCTCCACTTCGACGAAGAGCAAATCCCACCGTTGGCCCTCTCAAAATCGTCGTCTTCACTCGCAAATGGCCCATCGGCGCCACTTTCAGATTTATTATTTCACTAATCTGCCGCCACCTTCAATTCCACCGTAAGTCCGTACTCCCTTCTTCAACTCTTCCCCACCGTCTTCAGTTCCTCCCCCAACAACTCAGAATTTCAGCCCTCAATTAGGTGAGAAAATCGAAATTGAACACGATTCAGAGGGTAAAGAAATCGAGGATGGGCTACAGTGGCCTTGTGCCGGCGGTTTTCTTCGGGAGCAAACTCGTCGGATCAATGTCCTCCACCTTAGAGGTTGCAAAAAATCCCGTTTTATTTTGAATTGGGCGGAGCTTTTGACGGATATGGATTGAATCTCGAGTGGGTTTGAGATTTGTATGATGATAAGAAGGTGGCGGCGGAGACGGCAGTGGTGGGGTGAGGTTTGTATACTTGCACAGAGAGAAGTGTGTGTATTTGTGTGTTACTGTGTGTTTTTTAATTGGAGAGAGGGCTTAATTGAAAATACAATGGACTGAATTGAAAATTTCAAAAAAATTGTTTCAGTCTGAAAATATTTTACTGGAGGGTTTTTTCGTCTTTTCGTGAGTGGTCAACGGGGGAAAACAAAAAGGGTTGAGTGTGCTTGCTTGAACACATTATAGGGGGGGTATTTGTCACTTTTTTTATCATAGGGGGTTTTCTGGTCTTTAGGATTAACACAGGGGTGGTTTTTGCATTTAACTCAAGTACAACTATATCTTCACCAACCAAAATTTAATAATTTAATTAATACGATGTGGGCATGTCTAAGCGGATGACTCCTTGCTCGTAATCAATTAATTAACCATTCATATAAATGGACTCCCCAATTATTTATTGTTGCAAGTCGATAATTAAATTATGTAAATAAACTAAGGTGTACATATTGATCAAGACTCTTGACCAAATTATGATCCAATTAATTTCAAAGTCATCCTATTCTACTATTAAAATAATTTGTCCAATATAAGATCTATAGCCATTGTCACTATAAAGATCATATGGCTTCTCAAGAAATGGACTAACGGTTGGAACAAATGTGTTTATGTCAATTGATATATATTCAAATCTCCTTGCTAATTATCATTAGATAGAGTTTGTCACACATGATTAATCTAATGTATATTATGGACTCCTTCGACTCTACACTCGGTGACAAAAACCCTGAGTGAGTCTTCTGCTGCCACATGTCTTTTTTTAGTTTTCTGCTGCCACGTGTCTTTTTTTTTTTTTTTTTCTAAAACCGCTAGAGGTGAACCCATGTAGGAAATATATTATAAAAAAAAAAAAAAATAAAAAAAAAAAAAAAGACATTTGGGAGCAGAAAAGACCCACCCAATTTATTCGAAGAAGTTATATTTTATGTCTCTAGTTTGGAGAATACTATGCATATACATTTTTCTTAAACATTTAAATCGTAACCCATATTTTTGTTTTATTTTGCGGAAAATTTCAACTTTAACTTGTATGTTTAATTTCTTTAGCCTTATGCATTATAAATATTGATCCATTAGCAACATTATTTACGGGCTATTAGTGAAACACCCCCACTCTAATATTTTTTTGTTAAGGATGAGTCCGACCACTTTTTTATTTATTAGTAATTGGTCAAACTTTTCTTTATTGACAAATTTACCTTTCTTCATTACTAATTACTACACATTAGCCATTGTTAAATGTCTTTTCCCTTTCTTTTTCTTTTTTTTTTTCTTGAGCATTTTTTTCCTGTTTTAATTTCCCATACATCGAGTATATTATTTTCGAAATCAACTACAATATCTCTAAAAATCAAATACTTTTTTTTTCATTTCATTTTTTTGAATCCATTTGTTATCGGATTTTTTTCCAGGTGATTACCAAATTGATAAAATACTACATATTGTTGAAAATAACTATAAAAAATTGAAATAATTTTTTTTAAATCGACTAAAAATATCGAAAATAACTAAAGATAATTTCATTCTTTTAATTCAATTTTTTCGAATTTTATTTTTCTTCCAGGTTATATTATTGAAAAAAACTATCTACCAAAAAATTAAAAAAATGAGAGGAAGAGAAATGGGTGATTGAGGTAGAAAATGATAAAGATTGTGATTATAAGGATAATAAAGGTATACATACCATTTATAATTATGTAAAATATTTGTTCACGAATGTAGCTCAAATTGTGGAGTGGTCACTTTGCATGTGAGAGCCACGAGGTTGAATTATATTATAATTATTATTTTTAAAGAAACATTTAAAGAAACACTTTCCAAGTGAAAAGTTAATTTCTATTAAATTTGAAAATTTAATGGATCAGATTATAATTTGTATTCTTAAAAAAACTTTTTTTTTTCAATTTCTACAAATTAAATTAATTGGGGAAAAAATAGTGTTGAATTCTTTTAATCCAAATCCACAAAATTCAGAAATTTTGCTTTACTTACGCATTAAAAAAAAATTGAAGTAAAATGAATAGAATTCAAGAATTTCGTTTCAATTTCCATCCATAATCACGGGTGCCTACAGCCTTCGGGTGACTAATAACATAATTTTTCCTGGAAAATGTTAAAGAAGAAAATGAGAAATCGAAATCTACCACCTATGAAATAAAATAAATAATAAAGATGTTATACATTAATAAAAATAATTACTTACGAAACATCAAAACGTAATTGCCCTATAAAAACGTCTCTCGAGAAAAGCAATTACAGTTAAACCTCTATAAATTAATACAGTTGGGACCATCAAAATTTCATTAATTTATAAAAATACTTTTACTATTATTTTCAATAAACACATTTTTTTTAAAAAAAAATTACGCGTATATTATTTATTATACCATTAATTCAATGCACTATAGAGCCCGTTTCAGGAACGGAAGCTCTTAAAGCAGCAATGGTATAGAAAGATTTTATGTTGAGTAATGAGAAAACTATACCGAAAGTTCTAACCGTGTTAAGAAAAGTAAGGGATAAGATTGATGGTAATGTGAACTTCAATAAGAAACAAGCGACAATTAAACTAAATTGTATTAAGCCTTCATAAATCTATAAATATGTACTTGTACCATGTAATTTAAGATTTTTTTTATGCATTATTAATGTATCGAGTATTAATTTATCGAGGTTCTACTGTATTTTTCTAGGCCAATTACTATAGAATAATATTTCACAAAAATCTCTATTGACCTAGAAATATTTTGAATATTATTCTATAGTAAATTAATATTATTCTATAGAAAAATAAAATATTTCATTCTAAAAAAAAAAGAATAATTGTTTTTCTCAATTTCAAAATTCAAAGTTTTGCAAATTGTGAATGAAATATTTTTGCAACACTACAGAAACATTAAGTTATCATAGAGACGATGATTGACATTTATGTACCGTATGTATACATCAATTCCGATTTCAAACTAACCAAATGTAAGCTTGATAAAAAAAAAATTATATTAGACATAAACTTGATTTTTTTTAAGGAGACATATGACTATTCCTCCTAGAAAATAATAATTAAAAAAAAATCAAGCAAAACTTAATATTGTCTATTAGAGTAACACTACAGAAACCTAATAGAATAACGTGTCCAATTCATTATTTTATTAGAGTTTCTAACTATGTTTTAGGGGTGAATGTAATTATCGATACTACATGGACCTTAAAATTATTTTAGCATATCTCAGAAGTGTTGGTGTAATTTACCCTAAATATAATAAATTAATCAAATAAATTTCATTTTTTCATATATAAATTAAAATTTTCACGGTCAAATTCATATAACTCTTCACCGTCAAATTCTTTAAACAAAAGAGTAAAAGAAAATCTCTCTCAAACTGGATCGCCTTGAAGATGCTCAAGTTGACAGGGATGAAGACAATGAAGAAAAATGGGTTTTAGTCTCACTATTTGGAGGTGTTACTGGAAGGGGAGACCGATGTCACGGACTTGTCCCTTAACAACGAACTGTGCGGCCTTAGCTCCTTCTCGCCCCTTGTAATAGCTAAGTCAGCCTCTCCCGAATGTGTTGCGAATGCTAAGTGATGGAAAACGAAGGATGAACTTAAGAAAATAAGAAAGTTTGTAGGAAAGTACTTTTATTGCTTAAGTACTTGGATGTTGGATTTGTTGGATGATTACAAATGAGGACCCTACCCCTATTTATACTAGGCTGCCTCCTTAATGGACAGTGGAGATCTATTTGATCTAACGGCTAGGAGTTGTTCACTAGAACACTCCAAAACATTCCTACAAAATATCTACAAGGGAGGGTTCTAGAAAGCTTTCTAGAATCCTCCAAGAATCTCTACATATCTCTATACATTTGGGTCATTTTGGGTCTAACCCTATTTGGGCTTAATCTTGGGCTTCTTAACCTCCCAACCCAAGGGAGACTAGCAAAGGGTTGGGCCAACTGGCGGGCCGTGACATCCTACCCCGCTTAATCCGGCGACGTCCTCGTTGCCTCGAACAAGTGAAGACAATCTTGAAATTGCCACAAGTCTTCCTTAGTCTCCCACGTTGCCTCGGACTCGGGTAGTCCCTTCCATTTGATGAGGTATTGAATACTCGGTGGAACACCCCTACGTCTCTTTAGTTGTCGGCCGAGCACTTCCTCGATCTCCTTATCATATGACTTAGTCATGATGGGTGGTGCTCGGTGTGATTCTCCTCGGCTAGGGTCTTCCTTGTCTTCGTGATAAGGCTTCAACATACTCACATGGAAGACAGGGTGGATTTTCAAAGAACTTGGAAGTTCTAGGCGATAAGATACTTTACCGACTTTGGTGATCACCAGGAATGGTCCTTCGTACCTCCGCACAAGACCCTTGTGCATGCTCCGCAACGCCTTGAACTGTTGGGGCAATAGTTTCACCATCACTTGGGCCCCGACGTCAAATCCCCGTGGTTGTCTTTTATCGTCTGCCCACTTCTTCATACGTCGCCTAGCCTTCTCAAGGCACGCTCGAGTTAAGTCGGCTTGTTCCTCCCACGACTTAGCCATCTTCAATGCTCCGGGACTCCTCCCATCGGTTGTCGTAGCCAAGGTGTGTGGCATAAGCCGTTGTTGTCCCATTGCAAGCTCGAATGGAATCCTCCCCGTGGCTTCACTCCGCTGCAAGTTGTAAGAAAATTGAGCCACGTCGAGGAGCTTCGCCCAATCCTTTTGATTGGCTCCCACGAAGTGCCGTAAGTAGCAAAGTTCGGACCCCAAAAGCTTGAAAAGCTCAGTCCATAATCATCCCGTGAAGCGTGGGTCTCGATCGCATTGTCCGTGAACAAGTCTCGAGGGGGCATTTGTAGACACGTAAATTTAATATAATTTATATTATATTAAATTGAATCACAAGATTATAATTTATCTTGCAAAATAAGTCATGGAGATAATTATCAATTAATTATTGGCCAATAGGATTGTTTCTTCTCTTCCAAGTTATAAGAGATAAATATCAATTTAAAGAGAGCCAATCAAATCGTGTCACGTCATCAAGAAGACTTCATGTAGGACTCTTATTCTACCACTATAAATAGGGACCCTCCCTACACAATTCAAAAGACAACTCAAGAATAATAAAAATCGTAGGAAAAAATTATCTCTATAACATTCAAGTCATATTCATCAAATTCAAGGCGTTCTTCATCAAATCAAGGACGTTCTTCAACAAATCAAGATCGAAGGAAGATTGAAGGGCCAAATCCATCAAGAACTCCAAATTCTTCAAGTCAAAACCCGTCAAAGTTCTGCGTTCGATCCGAGATTCAAGTCGCAAGACCCTCGGAAGACGTTATTCAAGTTAAAGGAAGATTGAAGGACCAAATCCATCAAGAACTCCAAGATCTTCAAGTCAAAACCCGTCAAAGTTCTGCGGTCGATCCGAGATTCAAGTCGCAAGACCCTCGGAAGACGTTATTCAAGTTAAAAATCAAATCCGGAGAAGATCAAGTCAACGACCCGACTCCGAAATTCAAAGTTCACATATATTGTTCTTGAGAGAAGAATCAGATGATTAAATTAGAGTTTGTAACCCGCAATATTTATTTTTAATTCAATAAAATTATCTTTGTTCAAGTTTTTCTTGTTTGTCTAAATTGCAGGTAAGAATTTGTTGCTACAACATGTTCAATTACTAACTCGATAATTTAATAATAGTTAAATTAATAGAATCTCCCTAATCCCTAATGTATTAATTTATAGAGGTTTAACTGTATAAGAAAAATTGAGACTAATTATGGATACATGATGGGTAAATTTTATTTTTTTTTAATTTTTTTTTTGTGAAACGACCACACCTTCAAAAAATTTATGGTGCGTGCTAAATCCCACACTAAAATTTACTAAGTTTCACACATAAATTAAAAAATATTCTCTCTCTACTCATATTCTCTATAACTTTTCTCTAAAATCATTTTATCCAAGTCACTCAAAATTCATTAATTTTTCACGTGAATAATCATAAAAAATGAGTTCCGTTTTATTTAATAATTATTCAATCTCATTAAGCATTTTCAATTATTCAAATTCATATCAATTCAAAAAAATTCCTCAAATTCCAACTTTATTTTAGTTTGAACATGTGAAGATTTTTGTCAAATTCGAACCTGGAATACTAGGAACATTTTTAGTGTGTGATTTTGTGAAAAAAAAAATAGGAAAAAAAAAAGAAAAAATTGATGGGGAAGGAGAAGAGAAGATTTTACAGACACAAATATTTTTAATTAGTTATATACATGATTTGGCAAAATTAGTGTGGAATTTAGCATTTCAGTGTTTTTATTCATTTATTAAATTAAGTGGCATCATAGACCAACCCTCATTAGGAGAGTTGGTACCTAGCCTTACCAATAAGGTAATAGGTCTAGGGTTCGAGTCCCCCCTCCCCTACTTCCCCTTGTAATGACTTGAATTACTCAAAAAAAAAATTAAGTGGCATCATAGACGTTACACATATTTTTGTTACAAAATTTGGGGAACCGTTATTCACATGGGTTTTTCGGTAATTAGATCATAGTTTAGGGGGTTTTTGGTAATTTACACATTTTACTATACATATACGAGTTTTGTGCAAAAAGTACCCCTGTGTTATCTTGAAATAGCAAAAACCCCCCTGTGATAAATAAATTAGCAAAAACCCCCCTGTGAAATTTTGTCAAAGGCATAAACCCCCCTAGGGTATTTTCGTGTTGCACACTCGCCGGACCTGCGGCTGTTAGTTGTTTTTAAGACATAAAATGACAGAATTGCCCTCACAGATTTATTAAATTGTAAATCTGAAAAAACCCTCTTATTTTTATCATCGTCTTCTTCGTTCATTCTCATTAGTTTCTTGCCAATTCGATACAGAAAAAAGCTACAGACAAAAAAAAAACTATAATTTGCTACCCCACAAAATGTTAGAAATACGGAAAAATCAACCCCACCTAAAATTACACGAAGTCGAAAACCCACTTAAAATCCTAAGAAGTCAAAAAAAGTTACAATTTTTCTTCTCATAAATGCCCAAAAGCAGGACCACAGCCCAAAATTCCCATACTCATTCGCTGTGTATATATATATATATATATATATATATATATATATACACACACATATAGCTGTTAATGGCTTTCAAAAAGGCAAAAATAAAGTGCAACTCACCTAAAGAAAAGAAAAGATGTTAATGGCTTCGTTTTTGTGAGAAATCACATTAACGATTTCACCTTCTTTTTTAATCGAGCGAGAATAAATATTTTGTTAGGGATTTTGGGGGTTTTGGTGAGATTATTTAGGGTTTTCTTTCGGATGGATAGGAATACATACACTTCTTTTTCTTTTTTATATTCTTTGTGAAACAGATAGAATTAAACACGTTAAAACTCAAATAAATGTCTCTGCTTTTTACTCTAGGGCATTTTAGTCTTTGTAGGTCGGGTCAAAGCATAAATATGTAATGGGTCATGTGTGCTATTTATAAAATTTCACAAGGGTGGTTTTTGCTAGTTTATTTATCACAGGGGGGTTTTTGCTATTTCAAGATAACACAGGGGTACTTTTTGCACAAAACTCATACATATACATGTATGTCTGTATAAAAACTGTAATGCATGTTAGTGCAATAGTGTGGAGAATGAAGAAAGAAGAAAAGCAACAGAAATTTCATGAAGCCCTTCTTAAAATGCTTTATCCTTCCCCACCATCTCCCCAGATTCAGTCCGACGAGGACCAAGAAAAGAAGTTGATTCATCTGTTGAATGACCTTCCTCCAGGTAATTGTTATACATACATATATGTATATATATAATGATTCCGGGTTCTTAATAAGTGCTTCTTTTTGTAAATACAGAGGAAGAGAAAAATGAGGAAGAGTGCATATTGCCGTCAAGCAGTGACGGCGAAAATGGCGGCGATGAAAAGCCGACGAGGGCTCAGAGGAAGAGGCTCCGAAAGAAGAAGCTGAAGGAAGCCGCTTCCCGGCGGAGGAAGATCATTGGGCCTCTGTTACCTGGTACTAGTGATGATGTCCCCGAAGGTGTTCGACAAAATGCCGCAACCAATTTTTCAGGTGATCAGATTATTAAGTTTTTTCTCTATTAGCTAGTTTAGTTTTAGTGTGTGAGTTTGTTTGTACTATGTATTCGGATATCAAATCCTTGTTGTAGGTGAACCTGCTTCTTGCTCGAAACAGAACAAGCTTAAACAGAGAAGGAAATCGAAGAAATCGGGTGGTGATCGAAAGGCGAATTCGTCAAGCTGCATTGAAACTAGTACTACTAGCCCAATATGACTTTTGAATTTATGGGTGTATTTTTCACAAATATTAGTATTGGATCCCCTATGTATTCTTTTTCAGTTTGTTTATTTAGTACTGCATTGCATTTCGTATTCATTTAAATATTTAATACATTGATATATAGTTTGCAAAAATATTTGTATATACAGTTAACAGTAGCGGTGGAAATTGGTAGGGGTGAGCAAAAAAACCGAGAAACCGAAAACCGAAAAAATCGAGCTGATATACACCGTCCCGACTTAAAACCGGATACATGGTAATTTTTTTTGAAAACCCGAAAATATCGATTTGTGTATGTAGAATAAAAAATTTACCGAACCGATTACCCGAACCGAACCGATTTTTACAAAACGATGTCGTTTTGATATATAGAATAAATATTTACCATGTACCCCTTGTGCGCCTCTATCCTTCGAACGCCTCAATGTGACATGTTTTTTATTAATTAATTTGGGGTTGTGACATGTGGTTTATTAGTTAATTTTGAATTGTTATTTGTTAATTTTCTCAAACTAATGTAATGAAAGTCCAAATTTATTGTTAATCAAATATCGGTTTTATGCCGAACCGATAGATGAAACTGAAATAAAAAATAAATAGAATTGATACCGAAACCGTTAACCGAAAACCGAAAACCGAAAATCCGATCAACCCCGAACTAAAAAAAACCGATATGTTCGGTTCTGAAAATATGAAAACCCGATATTATCGGCTCTTTTTTGGTTTATTGCAAAAACCGAGCCGTACCGACCCGTGTACACCCCTAGAAATTGGAATGGAATTTCTGATTTCCGTCGATTCCGATCCGAAATTTTCTGATTTTGGAACAATATTTTTCAATTAGAATTTCGAAATTCAGGGTTCTTATTTTTCCGAAAATATTTGTATTTAAATATGTATATATATATATATATATATATATATATATATATATATATATATATATATATGAATGAGATTACGATTAAGTCCCGAAAATTCCAATGTTTTCCGAATATTACACTTAAAAATATCAACATTTATTGTGTATTTTATATTTTAGGTGAACAAAAATAGAAATTTATGAATTCCATCGTTTCTGATCCAAAATTTTCTGATTTTTCTGGAACGGAATTGAAACTAATTTTTCGCTTACGTAAAAAATCAAGATTTTTCCGAAAATGCTTATTGTAATACAATCCTTCCGATTTATACCCCTAGTTAACATACCAACACACAATAGGACATGAAAAAAAATAAATTTAAAATCCAATTAGTATTCTATTAAACCCTAATAATAATTGTAAACCGAAAATCAAACGCTTTTCATTGGTGTGCATGAAATCGAATTACTCCTTTTGTTCATTCCTAAGGAAGCCCCATGCATGCATAATATTATCAGCAACTAATCAAATTCTTAACAGCAAATTAGAAACTTCAATAACAAATTACACATACATGCCAAAAAAAAAAAAAAAAAAACACATTACATATATACTTACATATTTTTAATACTCAGCATCCATTATATATAATTACACACTTTTTTTTTTCCCAATTACGAAGCAGGATAATCAAAGGGCAGAGGAAGCACAGTGGAGGGATCCAGTAGATCCGGGTGCACGTACCCATAACTCCTAAGCACCTGATTATCCGCGAAGATCAAAGCCTTCTGCATGGCGTCGAAGCATGTCTGGCCGGAGTACATCTGGTTGTGGTCCCCACTGCACGGCTGGCACCCCGTGAAATGCGTGATGAACGGCCTCCTCCAGCTCCCCCTCCCGTACCCAGCCTCCTTAAGGTGCTCCTCCCACACCGGAACATACCCCTCGCTCACCTTCTCCGCGTGCCTCCGCCTCAGCCTCCCCTCCGCCGCCTCCACCTGTTTGTACCGCTCGGTTATGTTCTCGAAATTCCCGACAATTTCCATCCAGTACCCCTCGAAGTAGTAACCGCTCTCCAGATAAATCTTATCACCCCATTTATCCTTATCCTTCAGCAGCAGATAAACTAATCCCGACTGGTCGTCGGATTCCGGGAATATTTTGTCCTTGAAAGTTGACTTTTGGATCTCGCCCCATTTATCGTACTCGGGTGACTGCGGGCCCATTCGGGCCCACGTGTCCATGAAGTCCATGGCCCACTGCGAATTTCGGATCAGGAAAACGCCGGCGTTTATGCTTGTCCAGCTTTGCTTCTCGTAGATTAGGTGGGGCCAGCCGTGGATGATCATGTTGTGGTGGTTGTATTTGTCGAGGGGGAGCTCGAAATCCATGTCGGTGAAGGCGGCGTCGGAGTCGACCCACCAGATCCACTCCGCCTCCGGGTGGGCAAGCATCGCCGCCTTCACCGTCGGAGTTTTGGCCCAGAAGGAGAACATTTTGGGGTGGAGGAGGACGTTGTTGTAGAAGATGTCGATGCCGTGGCGGCGGCAGTAGTCGACCTTGTTCTTGAACAGCTTCAGGAGGAGGTAGTCTCCGATGGGGTTCTTGCATGGCGTCGGCTGAGAACCGGTGACGAGGAGAATCCGGCGGTCTGCTCCGGCGGCGAAGGAAGGGTGCTGCTTCAGCCACTCCCTTCTCTTCTCGTCCCAGTTTTTGACCGGCGGCGTGTCGATTGTGTAGCTGAGTTTTGGGTCGTCGTAGAAATTCTTCTCCGGCGGGTCGTAACGGAGGTTAGGACCGGAGACGCCGCCGCCGCCGCCGTCGCAGCTCTCGGGCACGGCGGCGGAAAATGAAGAGGTGGAGAAACTAGGAGTTGGGGTGGGGGTGGGGCTAGGGCTGAGAGCGAAGAAAGACCATAATGCCCATACCAACAAGAAAGCAACCAGCCCTCCGCCGACGAAAAAAAACCCGTCGGAGAAAAAAGATGCCGCTTTGCTCCGGCCGTTGTTTTTCGCCATTATTTATTATTAGGTAAAAATAAAAATAAAAATAAAAAACTCCGTAAAAGAAACCAATATAAAGCAAGAAATCAAACTCCCCACGCACACACGTTGTAAACGAAGCAATACGTCGGCTAGCGAAACTGTGTTGCCACGTGGCAAACCGGAGTCAAGAAATCAATGCAATGCGCGTTCACCCGCTAAATTTAGCTGAAGATTCCGCGGGAACCCCGAGGAAGAAAAAGAGAGCACACTTCCAAAATAGCTGAGACCTTTTTGATTAAATTCAGTAAATGAAACCAATAAATTAAATATATATAAATGTTTCCGCCACCGGTGAATGGCGGTGGTTGGACTAGTTGGTAGAGAGTGGTATTGATTGAGGGTATGGGCTGACCCGCCGGAGATTCGGGTTATTGTTGTTGGGTTTTGAGCCATTGGTATTTTTTTGCATGCTTTTTGTGCGTGGTGAGAGATTGCAGATCACAGCAATTTATTCCTTATGTTCCGTAATACTCCCTCCGTTCCGAAATAGGTGTCGTTTTTCACCTAGGCACAAATCTTAAGAATCTCAATAAATATTTCTTGAATTTAGGAAAATAGATATTGATGGACCAAAATACCCTTGTTTATTAATTAATGCAAAAATAGTGCTATAGAGTTAAGAAGGGTAAAATTGAAAAATACAATTAATGCAGCATTGGAATTGTAAAGTGACAGATAATATGGAACAAAAAAAATTCTCAAAAGAGACAGATATTATGGAACAGAGGGAGTATGATTTAATTGATTTGTTGCAATTTGAGGTGGTTCATTTAATTACTTTGTAACTGAGAAACAAAATAAAAATATACTTGCTTTTTATTGTTTAAAGCATATTTAAATTAAATTAAATTAAATTAATCACTTATGAAGAAAAAAAATTGTTGTGTAATATATATAAGACTGTGAACGAGAGCCGAGCTCGAGCTCATGCCATTTTGTCGAGTTCGAGCTCGAGCCATTTTGTCGAGCTCGAGCCCAAGCTCATTTTGTTGTTTTTCTTTCTTTCTTTTTTTAATATTTATATTTTATTTTATTTATTTCTATAATATTTTATAGTATTATGCATTATATATAAATAAAAATAATATATAAGAAATTAAAAATAATAAATAAGGCTCACGAACAACTAAAAGCTGGCTCGAGCTCGGCTCGTCAGAAAACTCGAGCTCGAGCTTGAAAAACTCGAGTCCGAGTTTGAACTTTTTTCGAGTTGGCTCATCGAGCTCACGAGTCGGTTCGACTTGTTTACCCCCTAGTGTAATATTTAAAAATAATAATAAAATGAATATAAGGTAAAATAGATAAACTTGCTTCGAGACTTTGACTTATGAGATCTTACACTTGGTGAAATACACCATGTGGTTTAAAGTTTAAACCGTAGATCTACATAAAAAAATTATACCCCACGAAACACATATACACATAGGTGTGTTTTATTATGTGTAAATCAATGGTGTAATAACACTAAAACTACATAGTATATATATTTCACCAGGTGTAGGTTCTACAAAACTTAAGGCTTTTTCTTAATGATCATTAACTAACTCAACAACTAGATTACACTTCAATGCAATTTTGAAATTCATTAAAAAATATTTTAATTTTGAAGATCTCTTATATATAAAAGATGTTAACGTTAGGGCAACCTAAACAACAATAATGTCGTATTTGTAATTATTTTTATTTTATACATAAAAGAAGCTAGCTCTAGAGCAACCCTGAACAACCATAATGGCATCTCTGTAATTATTATTAATTTTTTTTTCTCTACAAACTTTTTTTAAAATGAGTAATTAATGCAAGCAATGCTTAGTGACATCTTTGCAATTGTATGTTTGTAAATATTCAATAATAAAAAATAATCTTTCAAGTAGCTCTCATAGCTCAGTTGGTTACGCGCACCCGTTTAGTAAGCGGGAGGTCTTGAGTTCAACTCTCAATGAGAGCAAATTCCCTGTTATTTTAACCTGTATTTTTTTTTTTAAATAATTGAATTATTATTAAGCCTAGATTCAATGCTATGCATAAGTTGAAATTGTATGCCTTATAAGTTAAAGTTTTGGGCTAAAGTTTGGCAGGCCTAAGCCCATTTTTTTTCTCAATATATATATATATATATATATATATATATATATATATATATATATATATATATATATATATATATATATAATGACAATTAAACTCCAAAAATTACAAAATCGTGTCAATTTGGAGAGGGGATCTTATGAGTTATATATGAACATCACCATCATATCCTAATGCTTATTTATATTCATGACATCCTCGTCAGCCATAGATTTTAATAAGGATTGACAATTGAAGTCAGATCATGCATTTATTTTGGGGATTTTTTTTTTTTAAATAGAACTTTCAGGAATGTTGACCTAAATAAATCAAAATATTTTTTTAATAGAATTTTTGTAATATATATACCACTAGGATAAGACTTGATAACTTAAAACTAAATTACATATTTATAAACAAACAAATTATGTGTAAATTAGGCGTATATGCGGAGGTAAGAAAAAATATCACAATTACCCCATGTAGGGGTTTATTACATTCACCTCTAGGAGTAAATTTGACAAATTCAGATTGAATATACCATGAAATCTTCGATATTCGGTTACTCCTAACTCTATTAGGTGTAATTATAAGACCAAGAAATAATCAGGGAGTACTCTTGATTAGCATTACCGCAAGAATCTACGAGTTATTTAATTTTATCTCAAGAGATTCTCCGTAATTTTCTAAAATCGAAACTAAACTTCATTTTCGAAATACCGATAAACCTTTTAGTTTGGTTGTATAAATTAATATTACTAATACCAACATGCTACAAGTTGACTTGTTTTAATATTTCAAATGCTTATTATTTAACTTCCAAAAAAGTCTCTATAACAATCTGAAAAGTTATTTTTCCCTCAAATATAATTAGACTTTTCTTAATCAATTGGTATTGACTATTAGTGTATTAATTTTATTTCCTATCGAAATATAAACAAACATGCTTTCATTCATTTCTTTTTCATATTAAGACATGTTTACTCCAAATGAAATGAAGATAAGCTCGGAAAAAGCTTCCAAACATTACCTAAATTACCCTTATATTAATTTAATCTCCTAATTAAAAATACAATTATGCATTTAATTAATATTTATCTCTGATTCTCTCACCTATAAGTGTAAAGTCACAACCAGAGCTGCTACTTTCAGGTGGTTTGGCAGGTCTATCTAACACTCCACGTCACCTTAATTTCCTCCCTCTTTTAATGTTTATAATTTAAATTATGGTAAATTACAATTACCTCATGGGGTATGGTCAAATTACGAAAAAATCTCTCTTATTTGTGTTATTACAATCATCCAAAACTATAAATCTTCTTACACATCCATCCTTGCGGCGTCAAATTTAGTGGAATCTTCTACATTATATGAAATATTATCAATTTTTGACCCGTTTTATCCGATTCGATCGAACTCCACATTTTGAAGCAAGATGATCATAAGATGTGTGTTTTTTGCTTGTATATATCAGATTGTGGCGTATCAGAAACTGCATTTTTTCACAAAGTATAAAATAGAGAACATTCCACGGAATCTAGAAAATTATGTTGAGTTTGACACCGTAAGAGTGGATGTGTAAGAAGATTCATAGTTGAAGTAGAGTTGCGATTATACAAACATTAAGGGGTTTTTTTTGTAATTGGGGTTAATTCTAATTTAGCTATTAAATTAAATCAACAGTATCCCCATAACTAGGGGTGAAAGTCGGATGGATCGGATCGAAATTAGCATTTTCGGAAAATTTTCAAAAAAAATCGGAAGTACAAAATCAATTCCAATTCCAATTCCAAAATTTTCGGAATCTAAAAATTCATTCCAATTTAAAAAGGCCCGGAATTTTCGGAATTTCGGAAAAAAATCGGAAATTACATAAGCTTTAAAATTTCAAAACTTAGCCGAAATTTTCTAAAATGTTCATAATTTTTCAAAAATAAGAACATCCACGTCGATAAAAGTAAAACTAGTAACTATTAAATTTCAGTTAAAAAAATAAATAAAAATAAACACATCATAATATCCAATAAAACTTCTAGCAACAATTCATTATGTCAAAAATGATCACATCATCCGCTACCTTAACGGGCGGTTGAGTTACCATGATTTACATTCATCTATCAATACTTGTCGGGCCAAGGGATGGGGGCCATGGGGGTGAAGAATTTCGCCTTTGGCTGCAAAATCCTAAAACAAAAATTATAGGTGTATTTTTCGGAAAAATAAGTATTATATAATATGTATTATTTATAGTTGTATTTTTCAAAAAAATCGGAATTAATTTCGGAATTAATCGAATCGGAAATCGGAAATTCCAAATTTATTTTATATAATTCCAATTCCAATCCAAAAAAATCGGAAAATTCGGAAATCGGAATTTCGGAGTCGGAATGAAAAAAGTTGTTCCAAAATCGAACTTTTCGAATCGGACCGGCGGAATTGGAAATTCCGTTCCAATTTGCACCCCTACC